ATTACAGAATGAAATTTCAAAACCGCAAGTTTCGCCTTTTTTGGAGCCAAATTACGCCCGTACCAGGCCAAACACTCTGATATTACACTAGGCACTAATAAAAAATAAAGTGAGTTAGAGATGTCGGAGTGAATTGACGACACCTATACCGTTCGAAACATTACAGAATGAAATTTCAAAACCGCAAGTTTCGCCTTTTTTGGAGCCAAATTACGCCCGTACCAGGCAAAACACTCTGATATTACACTAGGCACTAATAAAAAATAAAGTGAGTTAGAGATGTCGGAGTGAATTGAGGACACCTATACCGTTCGAAACATTACAGAATGAAATTTCAAAACCGCAAGTTTCGCCTTTTTTGGAGCCAAATTGCGCCCGTACCAGGCAAAACACTCTGATATTACACTAGGCACTAATAAAAAATAAAGTGAGTTAGAGATGTCGGAGTGAATTGACGACACCTATACCGTTCGAAACATTACAGAATGAAATTTCAAAACCGCAAGTTTCGCCTTTTTTGGAGCCAAATTGCGCCCGTACCAGGCAAAACACTCTGATATTACACTAGGCACTAATAAAAAATAAAGTGAGTTAGAGATGTCGGAGTGAATTGAGGACACCTATACCGTTCGAAACATTACAGAATGAAATTTCAAAACCGCAAGTTTCGCCTTTTTTGGAGCCAAATTGCGCCCGTACCAGGCAAAACACTCTGATATTACACTAGGCACTAATAAAAAATAAAGTGAGTTAGAGATGTCGGAGTGAATTGACGACACCTATACCGTTCGAAACATTACAGAATGAAATTTCAAAACCGCAAGTTTCGCCTTTTTTGGAGCCAAATTACGCCCGTACCAGGCCAAACACTCTGATATTACACTAGGCACTAATAAAAAATAAAGTGAGTTAGAGATGTCGGAGTGAATTGACGACACCTATACCGTTCGAAACATTACAGAATGAAATTTCAAAACCGCAAGTTTCGCCTTTTTTGGAGCCAAATTACGCCCGTACCAGGCCAAACACTCTGATATTACACTAGGCACTAATAAAAAATAAAGTGAGTTAGAGATGTCGGAGTGAATTGACGACACCTATACCGTTCGAAACATTACAGAATGAAATTTCAAAACCGCAAGTTTCGCCTTTTTTGGAGCCAAATTACGCCCGTGCCAGGCCAAACACTCTGATATTACACTAGGCACTAATAAAAAATAAAGTGAGTTAGAGATGTCGGAGTGAATTGACGACACCTATACCGTTCGAAACATTACAGAATGAAATTTCAAAACCGCAAGTTTCGCCTTTTTTGGAGCCAAATTGCGCCCGTACCAGGCAAAACACTCTGATATTACACTAGGCACTAATAAAAAATAAAGTGAGTTAGAGATGTCGGAGTGAATTGACGACACCTATACCGTTCGAAACATTACAGAATGAAATTTCAAAACCGCAAGTTTCGCCTTTTTTGGAGCCAAATTACGCCCGTACCAGGCCAAACACTCTGATATTACACTAGGCACTAATAAAAAATAAAGTGAGTTAGAGATGTCGGAGTGAATTGACGACACCTATACCGTTCGAAACATTACAGAATGAAATTTCAAAACCGCAAGTTTCGCCTTTTTTGGAGCCAAATTGCGCCCGTACCAGGCAAAACACTCTGATATTACACTAGGCACTAATAAAAAATAAAGTGAGTTAGAGATGTCGGAGTGAATTGACGACACCTATACCGTTCGAAACATTACAGAATGAAATTTCAAAACCGCAAGTTTCGCCTTTTTTGGAGCCAAATTACGCCCGTACCAGGCCAAACACTCTGATATTACACTAGGCACTAATAAAAAATAAAGTGAGTTAGAGATGTCGGAGTGAATTGACGACACCTATACCGTTCGAAACATTACAGAATGAAATTTCAAAACCGCAAGTTTCGCCTTTTTTGGAGCCAAATTACGCCCGTACCAGGCCAAACACTCTGATATTACACTAGGCACTAATAAAAAATAAAGTGAGTTAGAGATGTCGGAGTGAATTGAGGACACCTATACCGTTCGAAACATTACAGAATGAAATTTCAAAACCGCAAGTTTCGCCTTTTTTGGAGCCAAATTACGCCCGTACCAGGCCAAACACTCTGATATTACACTAGGCACTAATAAAAAATAAAGTGAGTTAGAGATGTCGGAGTGAATTGACGACACCTATACCGTTCGAAACATTACAGAATGAAATTTCAAAACCGCAAGTTTCGCCTTTTTTGGAGCCAAATTGCGCCCGTACCAGGCGAAACACTCTGATATTACACTAGGCACTAATAAAAAATAAAGTGAGTTAGAGATGTCGGAGTGAATTGACGACACCTATACCGTTCGAAACATCACAGAATGAAATTTCAAAACCGCAAGTTTCGCCTTTTTTGGAGCCAAATTACGCCCGTACCAGGCCAAACACTCTGATATTACACTAGGCACTAATAAAAAATAAAGTAAATTAGAGATGTCGGAGTGAATTGACGACACCTATACCGTTCGAAACATTACAGAATGAAATTTCAAAACCGCAAGTTTCGCCTTTTTTGGAGCCAAATTGCGCCCGTACCAGGCAAAACACTCTGATATTACACTAGGCACTAATAAAAAATAAAGTGAGTTAGAGATGTCGGAGTGAATTGACGACACCTATACCGTTCGAAACATTACAGAATGAAATTTCAAAACCGCAAGTTTCGCCTTTTTTGGAGCCAAATTACGCCCGTGCCAGGCCAAACACTCTGATATTACACTAGGCACTAATAAAAAATAAAGTGAATTAGAGATGCCGGAGTGAATTGACGACACCTATACCGTTCGAAACATTACAGAATGAAATTTCAAAACCGCAAGTTTCGCCTTTTTTGGAGCCAAATTACGCCCGTACCAGGCCAAACACTCTGATATTACACTAGGCACTAATAAAAAATAAAGTGAGTTAGAGATGTCGGAGTGAATTGACGACACCTATACCGTTCGAAACACTACAGAATGAAATTTCAAAACCGCAAGTTTCGCCTTTTTTGGAGCCAAATTGCGCCCGTACCAGGCAAAACACTCTGATATTACACTAGGCACTAATAAAAAATAAAGTGAGTTAGAGATGTCGGAGTGAATTGACGACACCTATACCGTTCGAAACATTACAGAATGAAATTTCAAAACCGCAAGTTTCGCCTTTTTTGGAGCCAAATTACGCCCGTACCAGGCCAAACACTCTGATATTACACTAGGCACTAATAAAAAATAAAGTGAGTTAGAGATGTCGGAGTGAATTGACGACACCTATACCGTTCGAAACATTACAGAATGAAATTTCAAAACCGCAAGTTTCGCCTTTTTTGGAGCCAAATTGCGCTCGTACCAGGCAAAACACTCTGATATTACACTAGGCACTAATAAAAAATAAAGTAAGTTAGAGATGTCGGAGTGAATTGACGACACCTATACCGTTCGAAACATTACAGAATGAAATTTCAAAACCGCAAGTTTCGCCTTTTTTGGAGCCAAATTACGCCCGTGCCAGGCCAAACACTCTGATATTACACTAGGCACTAATAAAAAATAAAGTGAGTTAGAGATGTCGGAGTGAATTGACGACACCTATACCGTTCGAAACATTACAGAATGAAATTTCAAAACCGCAAGTTTCGCCTTTTTTGGAGCCAAATTACGCCCGTGCCAGGCCAAACACTCTGATATTACACTAGGCACTAATAAAAAATAAAGTGAGTTAGAGATGTCGGAGTGAATTGACGACACCTATACCGTTCGAAACATTACAGAATGAAATTTCAAAACCGCAAGTTTCGCCTTTTTTGGAGCCAAATTACGCCCGTGCCAGGCCAAACACTCTGATATTACACTAGGCACTAATAAAAAATAAAGTGAGTTAGAGATGTCGGAGTGAATTGACGACACCTATACCGTTCGAAACATTACAGAATGAAATTTCAAAACCGCAAGTTTCGCCTTTTTTGGAGCCAAATTACGCCCGTACCAGGCCAAACACTCTGATATTACACTAGGCACTAATAAAAAATAAAGTGAGTTAGAGATGTCGGAGTGAATTGACGACACCTATACCGTTCGAAACATTACAGAATGAAATTTCAAAACCGCAAGTTTCGCCTTTTTTGGAGCCAAATTACGCCCGTGCCAGGCCAAACACTCTGATATTACACTAGGCACTAATAAAAAATAAAGTGAGTTAGAGATGTCGGAGTGAATTGACGACACCTATACCGTTCGAAACATTACAGAATGAAATTTCAAAACCGCAAGTTTCGCCTTTTTTGGAGCCAAATTGCGCCCGTACCAGGCAAAACACTCTGATATTACACTAGGCACTAATAAAAAATAAAGTGAGTTAGAGATGTCGGAGTGAATTGACGACACCTATACCGTTCGAAACATTACAGAATGAAATTACAAAACCGCAAGTTTCGCCTTTTTTGGAGCCAAATTACGCCCGTGCCAGGCCAAACACTCTGATATTACACTAGGCACTAATAAAAAATAAAGTGAGTTAGAGATGTCGGAGTGAATTGAGGACACCTATACCGTTCGAAACACTACAGAATGAAATTTCAAAACCGCAAGTTTCGCCTTTTTTGGAGCCAAATTACGCCCGTACCAGGCCAAACACTCTGATATTACACTAGGCACTAATAAAAAATAAAGTGAATTAGAGATGTCGGAGTGAATTGACGACACCTATACCGTTCGAAACATTACAGAATGAAATTTCAAAACCGCAAGTTTCGCCTTTTTTAGAGCCAAATTACGCCCCTATCAGGCCAAACATTATACTTTGCCGGACATGCGCAAGCTGCGCCCACTATGTGTCACTGTATGGGTTAATGGTTCTGAGCCGAAATTTGTAGTCAAAGAGTTGCAGGTTCGAGTCTCACTGGGAAGAAGGAGGAAACAACAAAATACAGGCCCAAAAAGCGATCCCTTTTACCTTGCCAACGAATACGTTTCATCCAAACATTTTGTAGTGAAGCCCCCAGGCAGTTTCAGCACCTCATTTGCGTTGACCATGCCTGTGAAAAGCTCCTGATTGAAGCCTCCGCCATTCAGTTTATTTATGAGTTCGTTGAGATTTAGCACATTGAACATGTGATACACAGCTTCGTATGAGAAGGCTGATTGGGTTAGACTTTTGACTGGCACTAGTTTGATGTCAGGCGAGTTTAGCGAGGCTGAAAAGGGTTTAATGGCATGTGCAATATAAAATTGGTTGAATTTTTAAGGATCAATCTGTTAAAGAGAATTGCGATATAGCCAAGGGCAAAGAAAATGGTTGGTTATTTTACTGCTCAGTCTAAATTAAAAGCAGGCTTACTATTTCGAAAGATCTGCAAATTCTTCAAGCTCCAGTCACTTTTTTCGGCGAAATCTTTTCTCCCTCCGTACAAGGCATTCGAACTCTGGGCACTCGCATCGTTCGATCCGTTATAGACTTGGAAGATCCTTACCAACTCATAATTTGTCTTGATTAGCATGTCAAAATTCTAAAATTTGAATTTGTTTCATTTACCAATAAAAAGTTCAAAGATTTGGCAAATATTATAAATTACACTCCCTTACCTCCATGATAACTACGTATTTGAATCTCCTCCCCAACAGCAACTCCAAGCAATGTTGTTGCGCTGGGATTATATTCTCCCCTCCTGCATGCATATTGAACTCTTTATGAGCTACAATCACATTGCCGAAGCACTTCCCAAGAGCTCGCATCCGATGTTTGAAAGTGTCATCGGCTTTACTGTCCAGGACATAACAGTACACATTGTTGGGATTGTAATTGGCGGAGAGCTCGGACTCTTGGAAAATGTAGTCCTGCAGTTTCAGAGGGGATTTTTAGTCATAGTTTTTGTATTTATTAAAAAAAATATTGCACATCCTTCAAATAGGACGCCTTCAGTTAACCCACCGTGTACGTAGCCCTCGCAAATGCCAATGGAAAATCCCTTTCCTCATCATAAACGCGAGTAACAAAGTTGCCTCTGTCTCTAATGTCTTTACATTCCATTGGCAATCGTTCTGGATCGATGATTTTGACCTCCGAATATGTTTTATAGGCTTCAGATTCGGGATTAAAAAAGGCCGAGCAGTTGAGGTGGGCGAGGACAGGATGCTGTTTGAAGGCCGGGACAAACGCTGAAGTCGGCAAACAAATTGGAAAAGTGTTTGTATTTTGAAATTTTTAAATTTAAAAATAATATTTAATGTGATTTTAGGAAATTTTACAGAGCAAAAATTTAATTTTTTAACGATAAAATGAAAACGTTACCCAATTGGCCAGTGGCCGTATTAATGTTGTCAAATGCAGAGTAGATATAGCACATGCACAGTAATATCATAGACAAAATAGTGATAAAGTTAAATAATTCTTGTCGTTTCGTCATCCCTAAAAGAAACCTTCAATTGCGTTGCAGTTGTTTTTATACGCCGTTGAAAAAGATGTTCAAATTATAAAAATATATATTTTTAAAACGTATCTTCAAATAGGAGTTTTAAAAACGAACTGATCCGTTTTTGTATGCCCGTAGCTATCATGTCGTTGTTGTGCCCAAAGCCGCCTTCAAATAGGCTGAATAAACAAAGATACGAACAAGTAGTTGGCCTGAGTATGAGTCTGATTTATGACCAATGGGGTCGGTGAAGGACATCATCACAGAATGGACATCTGGCTTGAGGCTGGGACAAAGAACGGTCCTTTATGTTAGGGATGTTCGGTTCCGTACTTTATTTTGTTGGTTGTTACACACTTGAGAACAGCTTTATTTTCAATATGAGTTTTGACAAATGCAACGATCAGATTTCTTTGTAATCCTGGTTGTACGTGTGTACACAAGAGCCCTTGAAAACTGTAGCTCTGCCTTTGTAGGAAAAACCGAGAAGATTTACAGGTTTATTCGCTGAGAAATTTGGAAACTTGTGGGGAGCAAATTTACATTTTCACTATGCTTTCGCTAATTTTTTTTATGTTTTGTGAAATTCCCTCTAGATTTGTGCCTCCAAGTTTCATCGACTACAGGCCAAAAAACCTAGGTTGAATCTGTAAAACGCAGTTTTGCGCAAACAAATTCTACCCTAAATCATTGCGTAAGTAAAGTGAATTTCACTGCCCATGATCCAGTGTTTGAAACATAACTGAAGCCCGGCATTTTGTTGTCTTTTCCAGCTTTCTAGACATCTCACATCTCCACTTTATTCAAAAAATTCTCAAACCACCAACAATTTGGCCATAAAGGAGATGAGAAAAAGATTTGCAGTGATCTCAAAGGCTCCACTTTTGTCGGTCGACTTTTTTGTAGTTTTCTCCGCTGTTTTGGTCTCCTCCTTCTTGGTTGTTTTAGCCGCCTTCTCTGTGGTAGTTGTTATCTTCTTCGTACCAGTGGCATCAGAAGTCTCGTTTTGGTATCTTCTGGAGCTGGTTATGAACTTATCAGTTGGTTGGATCAAAGGGATCAGCAGATCGATTGTGTGCATCCCTTTTAGGTGTTCCTTGGCGAATTTTATGCTGTCTGGCAAGTACCAGTCGAGTCTAAAATAAGATTTAGTCATCAATAGCGATATTCAAATTTCATTAATAGCTGAGAACTCCTCTGTGGAACTCACCCAGTAACCGTATCATATATGAAATACGCGCATCTCTTCCCATTACACCCAGCATAAACGATCAAGCCATTTCTCATGTACGTCGGATGGGAACGGCCTTCCAATTTGTGGAATTTGTCGGTACTATCCACATCATAAACGCAAGTAAAGTTCTTCGTTGTATCCTAAAATGGCTTCTTTCTTTCAGAATATCAAACTAGACATTTGTAATCCAAAAAATTATGCAAAACCGGGTTTGTTGACTCACAAACACCTGAATAAATAAATTAAACCTACAATAAATTTGTGTAACTTACGAAGCACTCCGTAAAATCATCTTCGGAAGGCATTGTAGCTCCAGAATTACTGGCTTCTTTCAAGAATTGCTTCATTTCAATGGTCTTGGTTCCCGTGCAAATTGTGCTCACATTATAAGCGACAGTCGGGCTGGTTACATACAAACCTTTGTAGAGGAAGGCCTTTGACTGGTCGATGTCACGTTTGGTTGTCTCAAAACAATATTCGGAACGATTTCGTGCGAGATTTGGATCTGTGGGGATGATTTTGAAATCACCGTTCTTGTCTTTTCTAAAAAATGTTTTTTTGCGTTTGAAATCAATTTAAAACACGATTTCTGAGTCAGTGAAGCAGCCTTTAGTTAGGCCGTGACATAGAAAATTTCGATCTCGGGTTTTTTGCCTTAATGTGACCGACATCATCCTAAAAACTTATTGGCAAAACAGTTTTGCCTACTTCCGCCGTTAACATAGTTGTTTTTACAATTTATTGTTTATACAGTAATCCACAATAATTCAGTAATGACCACACAGATATTCATGAAATTGTGTATACTGATGTTTTCGAACTCGTAGATTTCAAAAAAAGTGGTTTTGACTAATTAGGATTACTGTAACATACCAAACTGCCGATTCGGCCGCCAAAAATCGGCCGTAAAAACTTTGTTTCTGAAAACCCACAGCTGATTTTTACATATGTTAATCAGCATAAAATTCTGCCCTATAAACGTTAAAAAAAAGTCCAAAAAGTGGGGCGGCATTTTTCATGGTATAGTGGTTTTGGGTCAGAACTACCAATCCAGCGTCCCGAGTTCGAGTCCGCCTGGATGCAAAAACCAAAAATAAAGCGTAAATTAGCTTTGATGTGGTCTTGGGGTCTGTATGAGGGAGACTGAATAATTTTAGGCATAGATGATACCCCTATTTGAGATAAAAATGGATTTTGTATAATTTTAGATGATAAATTCGTGAAAAATAAAACGTCTTCAAATCATTTGAAATTGATACCAGCTCTTCTAGGAATAATTCTAAGAAACTTTTCCGTTAGCTTTTTCTGATTGCTTACTGTACCATGGAATACTGTAACATAAAACTTTTTTTCCTTAACCGTGGTTTTCTTCTAAATTCTTCAAATGAAATTTTGATTTTTTTTGGTTAGCTTTTCTAAACGGTCGAAACCATACGCGCTGCATATTTAAAATAAAATTCCATCTCTATTCCAGTGTGTATTCATATCATCGTTAATTGGTGAAACTTCGGGAGATTTCTCAGGTCTTTTGAATCGTACGGCCATAGAAACATTTTGGTGTTCCAACCGACTCATTCTTAACCATTTCTATCATTATAGTGATAGTCCGATGTCTCTGCGCTCTGTGGTATGTGAAAAACTAAATCGGGTTTAATGTTACAGTACTCCATGGTACAGTAAGCAATCAAAAAAAGCTAACGGAAAAGTTTCTTAGAATTATTCCTAGAAGAGCTGGTATCAATTTCAAGCGATTTGAAAACGTTTTATTTTTTCGCGAATTTATCATCTAAAATTATATAAAATCCATTTTTATCTCAAATAGGGGTATCATCTATGCCTAAAATTATTCAGTCTCCCTCATACAGACCCCAAGACCACATCAAAGCTAATTTACGCTTTATTTTTGGTTTTTGCATCCAGGCGGACTCGAACTCGGGACGCTGGATTGGTAGTTCTGACCCAAAACCACTATACCATGAAAAATGCCGCCCCACTTTTTGGACTTTTTTTTAACGTTTATAGGGCAGAATTTTATGCTGATTAACATATGTAAAAATCAGCTGTGGGTTTTCAGAAACAAAGTTTTTACGGCCGATTTTTGGCGGCCGAATCGGCAGTTTGGTATGTTACAGTAATCCTAATGAGTCAAAACCACTTTTTTTGAAATTTACGACTTCGAAAACATCAGTATACACAATTTCATGAATATCTGTGTGGTCATTACTGAATTATTGTGGATTACTGTATAAACAATAAATTGTAAAAACAACTATGTTAACGGCGGAAGTAGGCAAAACCGTTTTGCCAATAAGTTTTTAGGATGATGTCGGTCACATTAAGGCAAAAAACCCGAGGTCGAAATTTTCTATGTCAAGGGCTGCTACACTCACTCAGAAATCGTGTTTTAAAAGAGACTTCGCCAGTTGTGGAAGGAGGGTCTGCCCTAGAATTTGACCCCCACTTTTTTCTGTCTCAACTGATGACATATAGCCTGATAAACAACTTGGTGAATTTTTTTCGAAAAATTCGTCATCATGACCGAGATATGACATATTTATTGAATTTCGTCTAATGTGACATATTGTGTTAATTTATCGCCGAAACATCGCAGAACTGAGTACACATACGTTATAGGCCATGCTGAACAACTTTGTAATTGACCCCAAGTTTGTCAGGTTACTGTAACATACCGTAACGCCCATGCTCGATCAATAAATTTCGATTTTCTCGATTTTTTTCAATAATTTTCTCGGATTTTTTTTGCATTTTTGAAATCAGCATCAAATTCTGCATCGGATAGGCTATATGCGCATCTCCAGATAGGTGTACAAAAATGTCGTGGCGCAACCGGTAGTGGGTCGGACTACCATTCAAAAGGTCCCGGGTTCGAGTCCGGGTGGAAGCATAAATTCTCAAAAGCGCTGGAAATTGTACCAAAACAGTTTTAATCTATTGGACCTGTGGTAAAAATAAATAATAAATAACATTGTTCCCTAAAAAGACTAAATTTTTGATTTTACGAAATTTTTGAAAATCATGATTTTTGTGGGCCCAAATCTGCCGAAAAAATGAAAATTTTTTGTAAGCGATTTTTTTTGTTTAGAAACAACGCATGGCACATAGAAAGACTATTCCTCAAAGGATTTCGTTCAGTTTTGCCCAAAACACCAAAAAGTTGAACTTTTTCGTTTTAATCGGAGAGCACCGCCAGAACCCAGTAAGCCGAAGTGACGTCATTCAAACGTGGATACACATGTTTTCCACTATGGGGAGTCGAATTTTTAGCAAATTTTACAAGATTGAATACTGTAACATCATGAAATATGTGAATATCTACAAATTTTCAAATGTAAAATTTTTTGTAGAAATTTTTCCGCGGCTATTAGAAAGATATTTGAAAGCAGCGCAAAATACTGCTCTATAAAATTGGAAACGATTCGGCGTAAGGACTCCTGAAAGTCATTACTTCAATTTTTTGTCAAATACCAAAATACGAAAATTTTTTGGTGTTTTGGGCAAAACTGAACGAAATCCTTTGAGGAATAGTCTTTCTATGTGCCATGCGTTGTTTCTAAACAAAAAAATCGCTTACAAAAAATTTTCATTTTTTCGGCAGATTTGGGCCCACAAAAATCATGATTTTCAAAAATTTCGTAAAATCAAAAATTTAGTCTTTTTAGGGAACAATGTTATTTATTATTTATTTTTACCACAGGTCCAATAGATTAAAACTGTTTTGGTACAATTTCCAGCGCTTTTGAGAATTTATGCTTCCACCCGGACTCGAACCAGCGACCTTTTGAATGGTAGTCCGACCCACTACCGGTTGCGCCACGACATTTTTGTACACCTATCTGGAGATGCGCATATAGCCTATCCGATGCAGAATTTGATGCTGATTTCAAAAATGCAAAAAAAATCCGAGAAAATTATTGAAAAAAATCGAGAAAATCGAAATTTATTGATCGAGCATGGGCGTTACGGTATGTTACAGTAACCTGACAAACTTGGGGTCAATTACAAAGTTGTTCAGCATGGCCTATAACGTATGTGTACTCAGTTCTGCGATGTTTCGGCGATAAATTAACACAATATGTCACATTAGACAAAATTCAATAAATATGTCATATCTCGGTCATGATGACGAATTTTTCGAAAAAAATTCACCAAGTTGTTTATCAGGCTATATGTCATCAGTTGAGACAGAAAAAAGTGGGGGTCAAATTCTAGGGCAGACCCCCATTTGAGCCTGCTTCAGCAACTCGCGAAGTGTCTTTTAAGTTAGAGGGAAATGTGTGAGGCGGTAAAAACATGTCTTCACTACATCCCCTATGGGTCTATTCTTACGTCTGAGACATTTTCAGCTGCCCTTCATTGTTGCATTCAACCAGAAACGGCTCAAAGTCATCCTTGATAAAGACGGGGTACTCAAAAAGACGATACATTGCTTGTGCGTACAACTTATCGCCCAGCTCCATTTCTTTCTCAATGTTGGCTGAAATTGTCTAGTTAAGATTCATAGCTTGTATGTATGTAGGTAAAATACGATTTGGCCAATTTTACATAGACTTACTCCGGCTTAGGTAATCGGCATCTCCGCTGAAAATAGAGACATAAATCAACGTATATTTAGGCATATTAAGCCTTGGAATGACGAGCACTTACAATTCATAGACCACAAAGAACTCAGAGAAATCCCCGTCCTGAACTTCCAAGCATTGCGGGCATCTGAGATCCTTGATCTCGTCCGCCGTGTAATGGTGTTTAGCCTCAGAGCTCAGTAAAAGCGAGGCAAGTACGAGGGTTACTAAAATCATGTTTAACATAGCATAAAGGGACTGACAGTTTGTTGGTTTCAAAGAGGACTGGCTGGATTTCGCTTCTTTAAGAATTCGGAGTTTCAGCTGTCAATGTGCATCTGAAATTTAAAAGTCTTGTGGAATGAGTTTATGTCAACAGAAAAAACTGAACTTTCTAATATTTGCTTGTGAATTTTGCTTGTATCGTACTGTAGGACATAGGCTTTCATATGTGTCTTACCGTTAGCCACAACACAATACTTTGTTATAACGTATGGTACGTTTGGATTTCGTTAAAGAGATGCAGCAAGAAACCTTTAGCATAACAAATTCTTTTAAAACTTTTATTTTTCGTAAAAACAAAGCTTGAAATTACAACAAATACCCATAATACACCAACCAATAAATTATGACATTATGCCGTTCGCTCCTTTAGAAGAGAACAATTAAAATGTTGGCCTGATCTCAACGTTCCCTTCTTCTTTAGCCGATGATATTTCACATGAGGTACATTTAAGTAGATGGCCTCGTTGATCCTCAGCTCTTGAGAGGAATGCTGTCGATTGTAAATGTATTCATGCCAGCAGCTGATCCCTCCGAAATCAAACTCCTGCAGCATTTTATTGGCCGTAAATCTGGGGCTTCTGGCCATTTCATGGAGATCGTTCATGTCCAATATGCAAATTTGATGACGCATTTTTCGACTGCGACATCCGCGGCGCTCTCGCCATTTGGTAAATCTGAAATATTATGTATAATAGAGGAGGTATGGTCTGGGGCCTTGACAGGTGATTTCATTAACAAAAAAGAATGATTTATTGAGGTTCTGGGGAGGAACTCTTGTTTAGACGTTGGAGAATGTGGAGTAATAAAGAGATCCTTTATCATTCAGAGTTTGAGTCTATTATGGGATCCAAAGAAAAATGTTCAGTTATCGAAAATTTGTGGTCTTGCAATGTAGTCTAGATAAAATTTATAATAGAAAACAGAACGTCTTTGATTATATACAGATAAAAAAGTTTTCGATACTAGGATTAGCAGAAATCCATGTCTCAAAGGTCGGGAATGACAAAGGCGGGACTTTACATGGCCTTCAAAAGATTTTAGAATTTCTATGCTAGTATACTTGCAGATTTTGATGAAACAGCTGCTTCTTCTTTGATAAAATTGGAGCTCTTATCTTCATGTGGCCAAAAAACTTAAACCGGAAAAACATGGGTGTTTATGGATTATAAGATTACTATATTAATCACAGCCATTGTTTTCTCTTGTCGCACCCTACGCCTTGGCAAGACAATAGCAAAAAGAAGATCGGCGACCCACTAAGCACTTTGTTTTTGCCTATCCCATCTTGGAAATTCCAAAACGGCTCGCCCAGTAACCGTGTCATAGATTTAGTCTCACCTTGTCATTGCAGCCGTCGTATCCCGACATTTCTCTGTAAAGCCTCCGGGAATTTTCAGCACTTCATTCGCATTCAAAGTGGCAACAAATAATTCTTGAGTAAAACGCCCTTGGTTCGTGATATTCTTGAATACTTCCAAGTTGAGGGCATTGAACATGTAATGAACGGCTGCGTAGGAAAAAGTTGATTGAGTCAGACTCTTGATCGGCTTCAGACTAACATTTGGAAGGTTCAGAGAGGCTAAAAAGTACAAATAATACGTTATGGTAGGCACAGCAAGTACATAGTGATTAATGTAAAAAAACATTAAGATTTGTGACTGAAAACATCTGTGAATACTATAAATTTAAATGTTCTGTAAGAATAAACTAAAAAATATAGGCTAAAGTCGCGTATAAAAGGATCAATTTGAAAATTTTGACTTGATTTTATAACGGCTTAAACAGTCGTTACAAATTCCGCATTTTTATGAATCTTGCGCTACATCGAGACAAAAAACGTATAACAAGAAAAGTTTTCGTGTTTGGACAAGCTGGAAATCATTTCCAGAAAGTATTATTTAGTTCGCATTTTTTCAGCGACATCGGAGATGTTGAACGGTTATCCCGGAGGGATAAAATTTATAATTTTTTGCTTTTTGGCTTTCTTATAAAGGAAGTAGAACTCACCATCTCTAAAGATCCGTAAATTCTTCAAACTCAAATCCATTTCTTTCGCATACTTTACGCGACGTTGTGTTAGCCTTTTCAAACTGCTTGCACTCACATCATTAGCACCATCATAAAGTCTCAGAATCTTGACTAGCTCTCGATTTGTTTTTATCATCATGTCGTTGTTCTAAAGCTCACAAAATACTATGTTAAAAGTAATACTCGGCCTACCTCAAGCATGAATACGTACTCCCATTTCTTGGATAACAACAACTCCAGACAATGATGTTGCGCGGGAATTATATTCGTTCCGTCAGAGGTCATGTCAAATTCCATATCCGGGACTATAAAATTCTCAAAGCAACTGGCCAAGGATCTTAAACGAGTCTTGAATAATTTGTCGGCTTTACTGTCCAGGACATAACAGTAAAAATTGTTGGGACTGTAAATAGCGGAGATCTCGGATTCATGGAAAATGTAGTCCTGAAACGAACGTAGATGCGATGAAAAAGAGGCCTCCAACACTTCAATTTGAAGGCTAAAGTTTTGTTAAGCTAGCGTTAGATCAGAATTCGATTCAAAAATCTTATAAAAAACCTGAACGCTCTAAATTTGATGACTACCTCTAGACCTCAAAACTCACTTTATAAACAGCCTTGACTATCGCCAGCTCGAACCCAACTTCCTCAGGATATACGTTAGAAGCAAAGGTCCTCCGTCGTCTAATCTCTTGACAATCCATCGACAATTCTTCTGGATCAAGCACTCCAATTCTCTGGTAGGACCTCATTTCCGACGAATTGGGTCTGAAATATCGTGAGCAGTTGAGGTGAGCCACATTTTTATGCTTTTTGAAGTTGGAGAGGTACTCTGAAACAACAAGATTATCATTGCCGTTTAGGTTGAAATTTTTTTAATTAAATAGGCCTAGCCTACATAGAACAAATAAAAATTTTTTTCCTTATTTGAGGGTAGCAGTTCTACAAAAAAATCAAGTTTTCCGCGTAGAATTTGCGGAGATACGGCTAAAAAGTGGGTTTTCTCTGACCACCCTCGCATTTCGCATACGCTTTCGACAGAATACATGAAATATTTTAACCGCCTCTAGAAAGCTCAGGCTAAAACTTTTTGAAATAGACAAGTCACCCAGGCCCGGCTTTTGTCCAAATTTTAAAGAAAATCTGACACTTGCTTGCAAAAAAACCTCGAAAACAAACAAGAAACTTCCTTGTGTTATCACTCAACTTACCGTTATAAAACCTTCCATTTACGTACGTAAGGCTGGTGTAATGAACGTAACATAACCAGTAGAAAACACCCAAAGTAACCACAATCAGAAACCAGCGTCGTATCTCGCCCATCCATTTAGGTCTCTAAAACAGAGTCCAGTTTGACATTCTCGAAGTAATAACAAGGTAAAAAGGGGCGTTGAGGACCTCCTAATTGTGGATTCATATTCTTGATAAGAGTGTGCGCCATGTGAGCAAACAAAGGATTGGAAACGGTCTTGTCAATTTGTCAATAAAAAGGCATAATTAGCGAACGTAGGGTTAATTTAAAAGACGATTTTTGGCTCGCATCCTGCCGTGGTCGCCATGTCACGAGCTGAGTTAGAGCACGTGTATAAGGGGTCCCTATTCTAGTTCTTCCTAACGTAAGATCCCAAACCATATACGAACACAATGACAAACGACTAACTATGCCCAAGGCAACAACTTCGATAAGACACTCACGATCGCAGCCTCCACCAACACTCGTCGAGTTGACCAGAATACAACAGTAGACAATAGAAATAGACGATTTATTTCTCCAAACAAACATACAACCGAATCAGCGGGGCAAGACATAGAAAAAATTACACTTATTGGGCGATTTCCATTCCTATTATACCAATTTGTCGGACGTTTCGTGGGAATATGCTAATTCACACGCGAAGTCGTGACATATCGGAAAAAATCGATTTTGAGTTTTTTCATGAAAATGACCGCCGACATGTGCGAAGCAAAAGCGAACAATATTTTTTCTCAATTATGCCCAGAAGGTATAGATTTTCTTAAATTTGTCTTTTTTGGAATTTTCCACCTTGTGGCGTCATAAATAAAGCAAATCATTCAAAATCTTGCTTGTATACGTTTTCGACCATTGGGAATTCATTTTTTTGAAAATTTAGTTTTTCAGTTTACTGTAACATAGGTAAACGAGCCAAAAATCGTCTTTTGAGGGATAAGTTAAGAGATTGACAAGCCACAGAGTTTACAAAAACAAACGGACGACAAATGAATTTTTCCCAAAAGCTTATAACTTTTGGGAGGCTCGAGGAATAAAGGTGATCAAATAAATGGGAAAAATGTGCTTTAGACTGAAGGACGGATGCTCAAAATAAAGTTTGGCCAGAAAAAACAAAATTTAGAAACATGGACAAAATCTTTGCATAACCACAAAGGGACCAATTTGTTGGTTATAGACGGGGTTTGTCGTATGGAGATCTATGGTGGACTGTTGGGACTTCTGAAATTTTTTGTTATATCCAGGATCTGCTTTGTGTTATTTCGTCGAACTGTAAAGATCAAAAAGCAAATTATAAATTATACTTTGCCATTTATGTATACGTTATTAGAAGGGCAGAAAACATGAACTAATTGTCATTCCTTTATTGAAAGCGTTCAAAATACGGAAGACCTGGCTTTCGAGTCAAGAAATCAGCCAGCCCTACGAGAATCAGAATATAAATGCGGTTATCCCGAAAGTATATATAAAACTAAATATGCAATGATGGCATAAGCGACGTATCAGTCTGTCGGGAAAATAATGTGGATTTGTCCCGCCTTGGAATCGATTATCATCGCTTTTGGCGCTAGCCATGGCTAGACGTTTATTAATTAAGCGACGAAGCAAGACTTTTGCTGCGACAAATCTACATTATTTTCCCGACAGACTAATATTTTACAACATTGCTGTGAAAATTTACTTTCATCTAAGCTTCTTTCAAGTGTTAATTTTTATTTTACAAATTTTTCTTGACCATGTGGTCGTCCACAATAATCTTGGTTTTCCTCGTTCCATTTGCAAGATCTGGCCGCTTCGAAGATGACCTTGTCCATGTTTCAGCAGAAATTTTGGCTGAGATGTATTGCCCTCAATGCAAACCAATAAAAACTGGAGATTTCAAGAGTTACTGGGTCATTTATCACTACTGGCAAGGTGAACATTATCTACAGCAGAGTAGGTTTTTTTGATAATAAGGTATTTTAAAATACGATCTGCCTAAAATAACAGCTTTTTCTATTTTTATTTTCAGCTCACATTGACCAAGAAATGAACGAAGGAGTTCGCATTATGCCTCGAGGCTTTGTGGAGATGGTTTTACATCCGGTTATTTTGAATGGACAATACGAACCAATCATGGTGGAGCAGGAGAATGGAGAGTATTTGAAAATGTACCAGGTGTAAGTTCGGGGGATTTTTTTTTGTAAGCGGATGATATCTCAAAAATCAGACTTTTTGAAAGAGATTCGAAAACTTTGATGGTCTCTCCTCATTTTCCATAGTCTCTCACCTGTAATGATCGTTTAATATCTCGACTGGCCCTAAAAAGCTTGAGCCAAAATTTTTTGGAACTGATTTGCAGTCTAGCAGAAGTTTTCACTCAAAATTTAAAAAAAATCGATAACAAAAAATAATAATTTTTACTCTCACAAAAAGCCTTTATTTTTAGCCCCAACGCCAAGGACACGTACAAGTACCAGCCTTACGAAGGCCTCGTTTTCAAAGAACCTCAACTTTGCAAGCCCACTGTCCGTCAAAGGGGCCAATTCGAAGAAATCGACCTAGACAAATATTTTGTCTACAAAGATCATTACATCGCTTCATTAGACCGGGCAATCGACGTGAAAACAGCTTGCAACAAGGACATCATTGAGACCTCGCCTCATGCTTATTTCAAGGCCAATGGCCCTAAAGGCTACAACGAAAAATGGCTAAAGGATTGTTTTGTAAGTTGCTCAACTTTAAAAAAAAATTTTAAAATCATTTTTATAAAATTTTCATGACTTTTCATCATTGTAAAAAGCATATTTTAGGATAAGAAGATCCCAGGAAGCTGTGTAATCAATTTGGACTCGGAAAATCCATTTTATCGGACGCAAAAGTATCCAATTTACATGAGAAACGATGTTTTGGTCCACGTTCTTTGTGTTCTTCAGCGTAAGTTTTGACTCTACTGTAATGATTCACTTTTTTCAGCGAAGCCTCACCTCGAACGCCGATGTGGGTACTTTCTGGAGGACACACTTACTAAGCAAGTTCTGAAGGGACAAATTATTTATAATAGGATTGATAGGGTCTTGTATACTTGGGTTTAGAAAAGGTCCTGCTTCAGAGGATTACCCCTGGAATATGATGAGAATTCAGGATTCTTTTGCTTTGTTTTACAAAGCGGTAGGCAAAATAAGGCGTTATAGGGGAAACACGCGAATGGTGATAAAAAATTGAAGATTTCTGGGTTGTAGCGACATCAAATTTTGATCTCAAAGGCCGATGAAAAATCAGCAATGTTTGGCAACTTTTGATAGTTTTCCAAGGCGTTTTATTTTTGATTTTTTGAGACCAGGATAAAAATAAAAAATGGGTCAAGTCTTTCCCTTACAGGTCAAATTTTGGTCAAGTCTTTCCCTCATTGATTGCATTTGAAGTTAAACTTAAAAAATGCTAAAAATGGGTTTTTTTGAATAAAAATTAAGAAGATGAAAGCTGAGTTTTGTATGCATAATGTTTTTTCGCATTCCAGGACCGAATGGTACATCCCGGACAGTATAGAATTCAGCAAGAAGGTGTTGACTGGCCTCCATAATATACAACTTCTCCTCCCTTTGATCCAGTTGGATGATCCGTTTTTCAAACCGGAAAGGAGATTTGCTTATTCGAATGTTCCGATACCGAAGACAACTACTACTAAAAAAACGACGACAACAACGACTACTACCACGACAACTACCAAGACAACAACGCCTACGCCGACGACGGTAATGACTACGACATCACAACCGACGACTACGAATATCACCACACCGGCGACTTCGACGGCGACGATGACGATTAGTAATATCAGCGAATCTAGCATGAATACTACAATGTCTACGATGAAGACTAGTAGCCCCACTGTAGTCAATAACACAACTACAGCTGCGAAATCGAAGGAGGAAGCTCAAGAGGGGCCAGAAAAAGAACCAGATAGCTCTCGGAAGATAGAGAATTACATTACGTTCATAATGATTGTCATTTACCTTCTGTGGAATTTGTAAATAAAATTTTTTTTATATATAAACTTGGTACAGTGGGGACCTGATCCAGTGGCAGAAAACGTACCATTTTGCATCCAGGAAGCATCCAAAAATGTGGCAAAATACCTCCCTCTCCAAGTGAAAAAAATCGGCTTTCAAAAGCGCGCCCGCTCTTTTTGTGCGGGAAAGAGCGCGCCCTTCAAAACGAAGTTTTTTCTCACTTGGAGAGTGAAGCATTTTGCCACATTTTTGATGCTTCGCGGATGCAAAATGGTACTTTTTTTGCCACTGGATCAGGCCCGTCACTGTAATGCAAATTCAAAATTTGATTTTCCAATTTATTCATAGAACAAGTCAGTGTCAGTATTGCAAAAAAATCAGTGCAATACAATTCAAAGATCTACCAAATCATCTGATGAGACGGCAGCACCTTGGTGATCCTCTTGACCTGATAATCTTTCTGGACCACCATCAACTCTCCCTTTTCCTTGGATCCATCACATGACTGCACATACGTCAGACTCTCCTCCAACGCCCTGACCACCTCATCGTACGGGAATGGCTCCTCTCGCTTCACCCGACACATCACATGATACACACCGCGGAAGTAGGACGAGAAGTACTGCTCCATTCTGTACATGTCTTTCTCCTCAAAAAGCCCGTCAAACAGGACGTCGTAGGGACATTTGGCCTTTGCTATGTAATACAGCCACTGTTCCATGTCATCGTAAGGAGTGTAGGCCTGAAAAAAACATTAAATGTGATACAATCTAGCGCAATTTCGGATTTTTTTATATTGTCCATCAAAATGTGATATTAAACTTGCAAAATTTGGTATAAACTCACATTGTACGAGTAGCACAGAACCCGTGGACTTCTCAGATTGAACCTAATCGCCTTGGGATTGCATCGAAATCGCTTTCCCAGCTCCTCAAAACTCACGCAGAACTCGGGTTGGAAGTAACTGGCATTCCCAAAGTCGACCACAAACACATCCCAGTCAGAGGGCTCGTCGCGATTTGGCTGCGAGAAACAAAAGTTGTCGTGTTTTATGTCGCGAACAACAATTCCACATTCATGGGCACGCTGGAGGGCGCGGACTTGCTGAAAAATAAAAATATCTGTTCAGAGGGAAAGACTTGGCCCAACTTTGATTTATGAGAGGAAAACTTGACTCAACGACCAATTTTAATTTGTGAAGAAGAGACTTGACGCTAATACGATTTTTGAGGAAAGACTTGACTCATTGGTCTATGAAGATAAGACTTGACCCAATTTAAATTTTGGGTTAAGTGTTTCCCACGAAGGCCAAAAATAGATGATTTTGGAACCTACCTTGATGGCGAGCCGAAGAGTTGACTGAACAGTGTAGCGAGCATCGCATATTCTTCTGGGCGCGTCACAGTCGTACCACATCATCTCCATCGCAATGTATCTCTGGTCCTTCCCGTAAATGGGCCCATGATCATAAAGAAGAGGGGCCACCTTCTCCTTGATCTCACGATTGAAGTATTTTTTAGTCAATGTCATCAACATCTCGACCTGGAATTTGCATTTGACAATTTTTTTGAATAAAAAAAACTAAAAAAATTTTTTTTTAGTTGTGACTTGCCTGTTTGAAGTGACTTCGCTTCTTTTGGGACACCTTGCCGAAGAATACCTGGCCTTCCCAGTAGATGAGACCAATCAAAGCTGAAACAATCGAAAAATTACAGTCAAGATTACTTTTATTTTCCCAATAACCCCCAACTTACAAAACCGCCCCGGATTGTGGGCCATCCTGAGGATGACAAACCTCTCATGGTTGTGGCCAATCCCATGTCCGACGACCGTATGTTTTTCGTCGGGATCATCATCGGGGTTCATGGAATCAACCGGTCGGTTGTGAGTAGTCAGTGGGTAATGAAAAGACGGGCATTTTTTAACATGACCTTAACGATTGACCCTAAAGCTTATTCGTTATTTTCTTCGACTTTTATCAGCTCAAGAAGCTCTTTTCTTATCATCCTCTCCCCTAAAAATACACGTGATCTTTTCGAGGTGATTTTTTTGACGTCAAAAAAGAGGACAAAGATCCCTTTAAACAAGTTATTGCGACAAACTTTTGAGACTTGTGATCGGGATTTTGAACGTCAAACGAAGGGAAAAATAGAGAGAAAGAGCTCATCTTGAACACGAGAAACCGAAGGGATGATGGTCAATCTAAGGCGAGGTTTCGTAGACGCGGTTTATGATCGTTGAAAGGGTTGGTTGGATGGGGAATTTCTTCGGGGTTTGGAGGTTATTAGACACTTATTTTTGAGCTTGACCTCAGACCCCTTCCTGTCTTTAAATTCCCTGCAGGAATTACGTGGATTATCACTTATTACTGATCTCTAGAAAAGGGAAATTCGACGGCCTTCTTTGCGAGAAAGCCCGCAAAATTAAAAGCTCTGGCCAGACATAAACTACGTTTTCGGAAATCTTCTAGAAACATTACGTGTTGCAATGCCAATTAAAACCGCATATGTATAGATAAAAGGCTTCTTTTATGTCATCTTCCATCAGAACATGTGATCCTATAGATGAACCAGATATATGTGTTTTTTTAATCTTATCCTGCTCAATTTTCGTTTTTTGAAACTTCATTTTGGTTGTTCCACTCTACTCTTGCTCTGTTACTGCTAAACGTTTTATGTCAGTCAGCATTTTTTTCTAAAAAATCGCCCTTTTCTTACGGTAGTTTAAAGTTCGGAACGGTCACGGTGAAAGTTAAAACCCTTCCTTCGCAGATAAACATCTGCAAAGCGAATTTGCAGAGTAAAAAAGGCTGTTCCAACGTCAAACAAATTTTGTTTTGCTTCGCGGAAGCTCCATGCACTAACAAACAGTCTGTATTTATTGTAATGTACTTGGAATTGAGAGCTTTTTATTTTTCATAAAGAACTTTACAGCTTAGCGAATGAAATCTTAAATTTTTGACTTGTTTATAGCAAAGATCAGAGTTCAATAAACGCTCCTCTACTTTCAGTATTGTTTTACATATGTATGTGCATTCATGTGACCAGCGCTTTAATCCGAGATAAGAAATCGAAAAAAACTTTTTTTGGTGGAAAGGGATGGTCAGAAAATCTTTTTTTTTCGTTTTTTTGTAAACATTTACGGTTCTGTTTGTACTTTTTTCACTGTCAATAATTAGTGATGGGCTATGGTTTATGCGCTAGTGTCAAATTACTTTTTTTCGAACAGGATTTTTATGAGGTTTCGGTAGTGCGAAACCTTGGTCCTATTCAAGCCCTAGGTAGCTAAAAAATGTTCATTTTTTCATGACGTTTGCCCATAAATCTAACGAAGAGTTTTTTACATGCTTTAGAAACCGTTAATCTATACTTGTGCCAAGTTTTATTAAAATGTAAGGGTCACACTTGAGGAATTTTCCATTTTGTTTGCCCCCGAAACCCCCAGAGCTTTAATTACTCGCTCTTTATCAGTATTTTTGTAATATCTCCTCGTGTTTTCTCAAATGATTTCCTTCTTTTGAGCCCCTTCTTTGGTCATCGGAGTGTTATTTTAACGGGAACTGTCTGTTTTAAAAACGACGTCTCCTTCTAAGTACTTTAATTTGTCTGAAAACCTTTAAATTTCAACTTTTAAAAGGATTAATCTTTGAGGTAGACGCTGAAATTCTACTTGATAAGCGCGGCTGTTTACGGGGATTTCACAATTTTTCGGAACAGGATTCATCCTTTACAGTAATTTTGATTGATCAGAAACCTTACAATCGAGTTTCTAGATGGAGAAAAGGACCGAAATAACCGCCGATTTGTCATTTATGATTGGACGAAGAGGTTTCCTTCTTCATTACAGGTCCAGTTACTTTGTTTTGGCACGTTGTAACGATGAATTTGTCTGATTTATGACTTGGGACTGAGGGGACGCCCAATTTGAATTTTTGATTATGACTAGGACAAAATTAAGGCCAATATCTCTGAAAACAGATATTGAATTTTTAAATTGCTATTTACAGTAATTTTCAGGACTTTTTGATCAAAAATTGGACAAAATCTTGCACTTTTTTATACGATTTTGTATTTGAAAAAAAAAATATTTTCTCCGTCAACGCCAAAAATAATTTATTCGGCGGAGACTTTTTTTGGCATTTTTTAGTCACCACGCCATTTCTAAACGTTTTACAATTCTTTTGTGATGGTTGAAAAGAGGATAATATCATTATATTTGCTTACTTTTATGTTTATCAATCATTCGCCGAAGTTGTGGCGCGCTATGGCAGACGCCTACGGAGGTCATAACTCAGTTCGCATAAAAATAAAAAGCTGAGTAATGACTCAAAACGAGCTGTTACCATTATTCTTATGCTCAGATTAACATAAAAAACAGTGCTGAAATTTCCAGGGATTGATTTGTAATCTAGTCAAAATAGATACGTAAAATTTTTAAAATTCAAAGACTTGAGTTTGACTTTGACGCTATAAAAATATCTTTTTCACCAAAATCACGAGCTTTGATCGTATATTCCACTACTATATTTCATCAGCGTCCCTTATCACTATACGAATTTTGTTTTTTTTATTTTCTCGACGTTTCTCTCGAACCGATCTCTAAAAACTGGTTGATAAAGAAAGATTGGGGGTGCACGATGACCTCGTGTATTTTGAAAGTTATTTCCCAAATAGCAGAATACGTGTTGTTTGTCAGCTTAAATTAATGTCATCGCTTACATAACAAATCCCTTGGGAAAAGAGCAAAAACAATGTAATGTAAAAAACGTGGTATAAAAAAATTTTTGTAATTGTAAAATACGCCAAATCTGGCTTATTAGTATCTATTTAGATGTTTTTACCATTTTTTTGCCATCTAAAAGAAAGCTTTTTCCCCTGTTTTATTTCTTATCAACTGTGCCATGGATAATATAATTTTGGAAACCGGACTCATTTTTTCGAATACCCCCAGAACTTTAGTTTGTTTTTCCAAGTTTTTCACTGCTCATTGAGATGTTTACCCTTCCTCTTTCCCCCTTCGTCCCTCAATTCATATCGTTCCAAGCCCTTCACAATAAAACTTTACGTTACTTTTTCACAAAATTTTTTTTTTTTTTTGAATCATCACAAACATTATCATTCGGAAAGACGGCTCTGTTCATTTTACACGATAAAGTTCACATTTACCCTCAAGAAAAGCCCTCGTTTCATCATTTTTTGCACTCGAGGTCATGTATAATATAATTTTGTTCTTTCTGATGACTCAAAAACAATATTATAGATAAAAATCTCCCCAAAGACCCATGTAACCTCTGCACTTTGACCTTTCGTATTTCAAACATCTCTTTTTGCGAAATCTTTGACACTTTTCGAAAATACTCTGGGCGCAGCTCGGCACGTAAAAAAACAAGAAGAAAGTAAAAAATCTTGACGGCCAGCCGGTTTCCTCACGCTCTTGCCCGCTTTCGAGAAGTTGTGTCCTCGAGTTATGTTTTGGTAATTTCCGGTCTTAGCCATGCAATTATATAAGTGGTCTGAAGAAGAATTGCTTCTTTCAGATGTAATGGAACCAATTTCTCAGATGTTTTAGTATTTATGGATTTCTTTTGGCTTTAGCCACCACCAAATTTGATTAGCCATTCCCACTTGTTTACGGCTCGGCACTTATTCTTGGCATTTTCGATGCTTTAATCAAGTTGTTTTGAATCCGACCTTGTTCGTGCCAATCCCCTTTACTCCCAGACTACGTGAAAATAGTCGATTAACGTGTGAATGTTTTGTAGCGCCTTTTCGTCTTCTATAAAAACGTTTATCGCATTTTTAGATCTCCAAGAACACTCAAGGATAATATAAGCCAAAGATAATATGGAACTGCCGGCAGGGTATGTTGGATTTCCTATTGGTTTTTTTGCTTCTAGGCCGCATTATTTATTGTGTTTTCACGCGACGTCCAAAAAATTTGTCGATAAGGTCAAAACATTATTTTAGGATTCAAGTCTGGGCATTTTGACAGCTGTTTGCCTAGTACAATATATTTTTTTTATTTTTGAAGTTTTCAACTTATTTTTTCTGTTTTAGCGACCGAATGGTAGTAGAGCCCGAGCCGGACCGAGAGTTTCTCAAAAAGCTAGCCGCTGCAGTTGTCATAAAGGAATCCTCAAAGGTCTTGATACCTCCAAAATCAACTGCAGATTTCTCGCAATGTTGTGGGTATCTTCGACAAACCGATGTAGAAGCAATTCTAAGACAATCACAGAAATATAAACGAATTCCCAATCCTAGATTTTTCGAATATTTTACCGATGGAATTCGGTATCCCACTTCGATTTTACCCATCAGAAGAAACCCGATTGGAGATCAAGTTTTCTTTGAATTACTGAGAGGACAGAAGGATACATTGCTTGAATTAGATCTTGAGGGGAATTGTGTAAGTCTTTTGACTATTTCTCCTTGGTTTTTAGGGCAAAGTGGCCTTTGTGTTCATCTTGATGATCAAATCTCATGGAAGATATAATGTGTCGTTCGATTTTCAGAGTCTTGGTACTCGACAGCTTCTGGACCTCCTAGAGGCACACAAGGACAATCTCCCACATTTGGAGCGATTAATAGCATCGGATCAATTGCTCTTTGAGACCTACAATGAAATGCCCTCAAGCCATCGAGCAGCCCCGTTGGCATTTGGAGATGGCGTCCCATTTGCTGACGATGAAGCCGATTGTTGTGAACTAAATCATCCAGCCTGCCGATTAGAACTTCCGGAAGCCGGCGGATTCCAAGAAAACATGGAGATTGACCAAGACTTTGAGGAAGTAAAACAATTTACCAAATATTTCCCAACTCTCAGGCATTTGCGTCTTCTCAAGGAAGCGGTAAGTGATGTGTATTTATTTGTAGTAAGTGTTTTGTTTTTAGAACCGGGAATTCCTTCAAATCTCGGAGAATCGCCTCACTTTCCTCACCAGAATCTTGACTCCTCTGAAGGAGTTAATTACTCTCGAATTGATCAGATGGGATAAAATTGGGAGGCTGACGTTCCTCCCAATGATGTCTGAGACTCTGACGTCGCTTGTGCTCTATGATTGTACAGATGTTCATGATTCTATCGATGAAATTTGCGAGTTAAAGAACTTGGAGTAAGTATTTTCTTTATGATTTTTTTGATTTTTAGGTAAACACTCAAGGAAGATGTTTTATACATCAAATAACAAAATTGAAGAAATTAGAGTAATTTTACATCTGTTTCTTTCAGAAAGTTGGATATTGCCTTTTCGAATATAGCCCGAGGCATGTTCCGATGCCCAGTAACGACTCTCCACAAGCTCGTTTCCTCTCTCCCAAAGTTGAAATACCTCGATATTGCCAACACAAATCTCTCATCCATGGCCGCTGCAGATGATCGACCACCTCGGTAGGACTTTTAAACCCAGAAATTACTTTTAGAAACACGGAATCTTTATTTGAGTTTATCTTTCCTTGTTTTAGGAGGAATATTGTAATGACGGATGTGTATGGACTGGATGGATTAGATCACCAGCTAGACTTTGTCAGCGTCTTCCGTTGTGAATCCATTAGTTCGAATACGAAGCTCCCGGCGAAAGTAATCTGCTCGGATATGGACGAGGAGAAGCTTTTGATAGCTATGGAGACCTACATGGATCGGACGGAACTGCTTCATCTTGTGCTAAATGAGCTTTATCAGTTCTATAGAATCAATCAACAGGTAAGATTTGGATTTATGAAAGGATTTTAGATGTTTTTTGAGTTATTTTTGGGGTCATTTTGACTTTTTATATTGTTGTAGGGGATTTGTACATGTTGGTAACTTTTTTGAAATTTTTTGATTTTCAGATTGTCTGTGAATACGGCAGAGGACTCGACTTGATCATTAAAGCCCTTCAGAGGCATCACAACCATCGAGCAATCCAAATTGCGGGCACTGCGGCCATCTTCTACATCATAAGGAACGTCCAATTGAGTGTTTCAATTCGACGAGATGTCGTCGAAATCATGTTAGATGGTAAGATCAGAAAGACAGTTAGATATTTGATTGATACATATTCAATTTAAAGTATTATTTTGCCATTTATAGCCATGGAAAACTTCCCGGACGAGACGATTATTGTCCGGAATTGTTGCCTCGCCGCCTGCCAATTGGATGTGCCCGCGGATGTGGCGTTTGCATATAAAAGAATGGTCAAAGTCCTTGTTCACATCCTCAACAATCATTACGCGGATTCAACCACTCCCAGAGTCGTGGTCTATCTTTTGAATTCCATGGCATGCCATGTGGAAGGTGAACATAAGGTGGAAGTGGGCAATTTTGGAGCAATTGAAGCTGTTGTCGACCATATTAGACGTAAAACCAAACGACGGATTTGTGATGAAGTTCTGGAAGTCAGTTGGAGCTTTTTGTGGAACGTTACGGGTCAGTTTTATATTATTTTAGGTATTAATTTGAATTTTTTTAAATTTTGGTTGATTTTATGGCTAAGTTAATGTGATTTTTGCAGATGAGACCCCTTTGAACTGTGAGATGTTCCTGCGGTCTGGTGGAATGGACCTTTTCCGTCGCTGCCACTCGGAGTTTTCGACCAAAAAGGAGCTGGTCAGGAACATGATGGGATTGGTCGGAAATATTGCTGAAGTACAGGAATTGAGGGGATATCTGATGAACGACGAACTGATTAGGATATTTTTGAGTCTGTTGGATCAGATGAGCGATGGAATTGAGACAAGTTACAACAGTGCGGGAGTTTTGGCACAACTTTTGAGCGACGGAATCGAAAAATGGACAAGTCAAGTGTCGCGGCAGGAGGTTACGGATAAAATCGTTAAAGTAAGTGGCATTTTTTATCTTTGAGAGTTTGATTTGAGACATTTGAGACATTTGAAAACGATTTTTGAAACATTTTTCGAAATTTTTTTAGTGGAATATAATTTTTGTTTTATTTTTGCCAAAAATTATTTGTAACTTTTCCAGACCACCCAACAATGGCCCATGGACTCCCGGCGCTTCATAAACTACAGATCTTTCAAGCCGATCATCCGATTAATCCCCATGTTTGACTCGTACGGATCTCAGATCTGGGCTTTATGGGCCTTGGCCAATCTCACAACCACGGATGGAGAGAAATACTGTCAGTTTATTGTGAAAGAAGACGGATTACATGTGCTCCAATCGCTGGTTAAGGACAAACGATCGACGGATCAGATCTTGGAACTGGTGAATCAGATCATGAATAACTTGAATATGAACCTCGGCCTTCCAACCACGGCTCTTATGCAGGTTTAGGAAAGATCCTCGAGGATTTTTAGATCTAAAACGCGCAAATTTTCGAAGATAGCTACCATTTTTAGAGTTAGTTTTTACTTTTCACCTTATTTTAGACAATTTTTCTCCGGTGATCCCCCATTTGTCTTCCCATTTTGCCGCTTTTAGTATTAGTTCAATGTCTGGACCTTCTTTAATCTCCACGATCCCTCTTTGAAATATTTCTTCGGGTATGTTTGTGTATATTCAACTTTTTCCCCCGTAAACACGGCTATTTTAATGTAAAGGTAGAAAAAACTTTAGGTACAAAGCCAATTTTTGTCATAAATGTTTGTCACCCGGTCCATTTTTTCCGATTACACTCTTACTTACCATATTTTCTACATTTTACCGCAATTTTTTTTGTACAGTTGCATATATTTGTAATTGAAATGGCTAATTTTTTGTTATTTTATTTGTTGTTGGAAATTAATAAAAGGATCAACTTTATTTGAATTTTTTATAGGTTATATGTAACTATATTTATATTTGGATTCGGGCTGTCATTTTGACAATTTATTTTGCTGTAATCTCCATCCAAATACCTCTAACGACAAATCTTTTCCATTTGTTCGGCAATTTCTTCGGCCGGCACCATTCGTTCGCAGAGGTTGGTAATTGTGGCAATGAAGTGGTTCTTGAAGTCGCTCTGAAATCAGAGACTCCTCTAAATGTCACCTTCAACTTACATCCATCATTTCCGGACATTTCGCGGCAAAACCATGAACAACTTTGTCATGGCAATCGAGTTGAGTGATTTTGTGAGGGGGAAGACGGGGATCCATTGTTGGATCGGAGAGTTTGTCAGCGCGAGAGGTGGGGAATAAGGCGACAAAAAGCTCCATGGAGCTCTTTTCAATGGAATGTTTTACCTGTGAAATTATAACAGATTTACTTCGTATGGATGAGGTATGTTAATATCAGTCTGTCGGGAAAATAATGAGCACTCTGTCGCATCGAAAATCGCCGCCAAAAAATGCGGCTTTGTGGTCATTATTTTCCCGACAGACTAATAAATATAGATTGTTCTTACATCAATGATCTTCCTCAACTTCTTCCCCAGCTCTGCCTTCACCTTCAAATCCTGTGTTTTTTCAAATTGCTCGATCATTATCAGCTCCGGCATCACACAAGAAGGCATCGAACTGTTCGCCATTTTCGGATTTCCACTCTGAAAAAATCGAAAAAAAATTTAAAATTTCATTTTATTTGTCATCAAAATAAAATCTACATTATCATGAATCCAAACTCACCACTCGCTCCTCTCTAAACCCAGCAATTTGCAAGAATTCAGCGACTTTCATCTGCCCAATGGACAAGGTCCCGAATCTCTGAACATGCGACAATTTGGTGGCCTCTTGAACGAATTCAAATTGCTCGTCGATAGTGGTGGCTGTGAGATCATGGGTTAGCATGGAGTTGATCCAATTGGCGGAAAAAGCATCGCCCAAAATGATGCGGGTCCCGGTTTTGTCTTGAATGGAATCGGTGGTGCCGTAGGAGGATTCTCGCTCATTGGAGGCGGTTAGAGCGTAGACTGAAAAATCGGTGACAAATTTTTCGAAAAATGTTACTATTAGAAGATATAAAAAAATATTTTTTTTTCTTAAATTCGCTTACTGTTTCTGTCCTCCCTCAAAATTCCATTGAACAACGACCCACTGAAGCAAGATTCAATGTAAACAAGCATTTTCCCATATCGATTACGAGCCTTCATTGCATCCAGAAGGACATGTAACTCCTTGGCAGTAAAGATTTGATGATTGGGAAACCCCACAAATCCAGTGTTTCCGTGGTTCGAAAAGTAGACAAAAACATTGTCATCAATTGTACTGAAAGATACTAACGGGTAAAAAAAATATAACTCTATAAACACAGAACTATAAGACCCGTATTTTACCTATTCAAAACTCTCCCCGACCCCACGCCAGTTGGAATTCCCAACAAAATTTTTTGAAAATTGGCCACATTCACATCATCTCCTCGGTAATCGATTTTAATCCCGGAATAAACATCATCCAAGTCGCCGCTGTTGAAGATTTTGCCGGGGAAAGGATTTCTAAAACATTTCTAATTATCGGAAGCTTCAAAATGTATCAAAGATAAATTAATTTTACCTAGGATCATTGGCAATGTCATCATAAACCATGGTGATGATGTTGTCCGGCTCCACTCCCTGCGCTGTGATTACTCGATAGGCATTGCAGACATCGGCTTGATGCCGGTAATTCTCCCAGCCTCGAGAGCCGGAGACCAGCACTGCAAACAGCGCACATTCTCTGGAATTTTGAGCAAAGTCGAAGGTCAGAACATGGCAAAACTTGGAACAAAAGAGATTCGAATTTTCAAGGATACTATTTGTAAGCAATCAGTTTTAAAGAGCCGGTACAACTACTCTTGAACTACGTTTTTTTACAGTTTATGAAACAAACTGTCAAAAAATCGACCACACCGTCGTTAATCACCGTCGGCGAAGTAAACTAATTATAAGCGTAGTAAGCGTGAAAGTCACCATAACGCTATACCGTTGTTAAGATGGTTGGTACAGTAAACAAAGACATTTTTGGACACTTTTTCCCGTTTTAGAATTAGCCGTACTTGGCCTTATATTCACATAACAACAGAGATTTTTATGTCAAAAAAATTGCAAAAATTCGGCATATTTTCGAGCATAGCATTTCAGAAGTTTATGGACAAAACCTACTTCGTCCCACGAAATATGTACCAAGCCATATGTGGCCATGGCCCAACGAATGTAAAAAAATATTCTCGGAAATTTACAAACTCACAAAGTCACCTTTTGTAGGACCTTCTGTGTGCGCCTAAACTTACATTTCTACAGCCAAACATAGAAAAATCACCAATAGCACAAGTCCATTTTTCATGATGATATTTCTTTATCAAATCCCGGTGCGAATACGATTATAAAACCATGAATTCCTGATCTCTGTCTGGCCATTATCTTCGGGATATCCGAGATCATGAATCATCAAAATTCATGTCAACAAAGGCGGTTTTAATATTCTTTTATAATTCAGTTGTTCCCTAGGATCTTACAGTGGGAATATAACTAATGTGCAAGATATTAAAAATAACAAAAATATTAACTCTTTGGGTTAAAAGCATCTTTAAAATATATTGCAACAAACAAAAATCGAAGAAATCTTGCTTAAAAATTTAGCCTTTTTGTTGAGCGCGCTACCGTTATGCGCTACTGCACAAACTCTGTTTCGTAAACAATTACAGGCTCTAAAATTAAAGGGCACTCTGTTATTCTGCCATTTCCATTACCTCAATTAAAAATTTCACACCCTGGAAACTGAAACGATTTGTCATACGAGTACTGTATCCCCCTGACTTTTTGTGCCGACAGAACGGAAGCAAGTCCTCTTGTCTGCATATTTGTCTGCGACTTCCCATTTTTGCACTAGCAACCTGCACTTTTCTGCGAGCATACCCGCCGCCGACAAAGTTCTGCGGAGTTTACAACGGGACTAGTAATGTTACAGACTTGTTGACAGTAACATAAATAATAAGGCGGGTTTGTTGTTGATTTCCGCTTTTCGCGCACACTCTGATCGACAAGGATCGTTAAATATCTCCACTGGTCCAGTAAGATTCTGGCTAAAATTTTCGGGAGTTTATTTATGGTCTAGCACTAACCTGTGGGTGAAACTTAGAAGATCATAAAAACGCCGCACTTTGAACATCTTAGAGAAGCTGCGCTAACATTCCTCTGGTTACATTGATTCCGTTAAATGTAAGTACGTTTTCCGACTACGCCTTTTCAAAAGTCTCTTTTTTCGTAGCGGTGCGAAATTGAAGAGCCTTGATATAGATGATCAACTGCACAAAAAAGATTGCGGCAAAAAGTCTACGCACGAAAGCGCGTATCCTGCAACACGAGAGCTCATTACGACCGTTAATTTTCTGAGCAGGCCGCATGTGATCTTTTGCTCCCGCCCCTCACTTTCGGCTTTCCTATGCCCAGAATGGACAGGTGGACTCTAGAATTATCTTTTGTTCCAGGTGAACTTTGTCTGCACTGCAGACACAACCCACAATGTAAAATTAAATGTCACGTTCTCTGACAAATGTTGAGTAAAGTATTCAGATATTTATTGGAACGTACACACGTAAAAAAATATATGGCAGAGTACTGTAAAATATTTCGAAATAACTGTAGGATAACTGTAGTTGAACTCATGGAACATAGACATGCTATAGGCATAGATTACTGGATCCATGAGAACTATGGCACTGCTTGGCGATATTGCCCGATGACCACACTGCTCTGGCTCTTGACGGAATCACTGTTGTGGTTGTTCATGGAGATCGTATTCCTGAAAAGGGAAAAATTAAAAAATTCAAAGGCAAGAATGAGCTTTTTGAGGCAAGAAATGTCTGTTCACACCTCTGTACAACGAATCTGAATTTCTCTGCTCTTTAGAAGTTTGTTTGGGTCACAAAACTCCGTCGACGAGCCCTGAAATTGCTGGTAATTCAGTGGGGTCTGTACGACGACTGGAAACGGGACTTTTTGACAGATAGATTTGTTATATAGAGGTTGTGCCGGTGCTGCACCCTTTGCACTGTGTTTCTACTGTGCTTTTTTGGCGTAAAGTTTAGGCGTTCTCCAGACAACGGTAAGGTTGGAAAGAAGGTCAAAGAGAGTGTATAGGACGTGATTCTTATCAGTCGTTGTCCCCAAACAAGGTTTCTGCTCAACGGAAAACAACCAGTCCTTTTTTGTACACCCTCCGCTCCGGCTTTGAGTCAAATCTGAGGCCGTGGGGCCACGGGGACTTCGTGCTCTTACTAGAGAACAAGTTATCAATTGACTACACGGAGGAGATCTATAGAGCTCTATAAAGCCTCGTTCAAGTCCTCGGGATAGACCCGATCGGCGACAACGAGCCTTAAAAATAGTGAGGACAAAGACAAGCCTCATCGAAGGGAGATCTCAGTGTGGGGGAACGTTCAAACGTATATAGGTATCTAGAACAGACACAGGTTTAGGAATAAGGTTTATTGAGACCGCACACAAAGAAGGAGAAAATGAGATTATGTTCTAATAATTGGTTACAAGACGTTGCTTTTATATGAGTTGGTTTATGCTAATTTCTGTGTGAATTGTGGAGACCTTTGAGGCTCCACAACAATCAGCATCCCACTCTGCTGTCCCTGTTTATAAACCACTTACCTTGACTTCTTGTCGGTCTTGAATAACGACACTTCATTTGAACTGAGAAGTGGTCGGAAGACGGCTTCTCGAAGACTCCCAATCGACAAAACAATAATCAAAGCCGGCAGAATGTACTGCACTTCCGCGACTATTGTCAAAACGAAGCGAAGGAGGAAGTAGATGTTGAAGGAGCCCATGGAAAACATGTACTGAAAGTTTATTCAGAGTAGGACCGTAAAGAGAATTTTTGTGGATTTTGAAGCAGATTTATCTTATTCTAGACTCACCTGCCCCATCATAACACAACATTGTGTACAGAAGATGATCGTGGAGCACAGAACAAGGTTGATCTCTCGTTGGCCAGTGATGTAACCTTTCATCTTGTGTCTGATCAACATGCACACATTCACGAGGTTACAGATAAAGGCCAGCAAAGCACAGGTGCCGGCAAAATACTCGGTCACAACCGCATCCTCTATCTACAACATGGCGGTTAGATTTTGAGGAAAAAATTGCTATGGTTGACGGAATATTCAAGAGAATTCAATGAAACTTTTTCATTGGCAACCGAAGTATTCAAAGATTGTATTTGTGATAGAAAACACGAAATGAGGAGAGTCAGCCAGACAAAAAACAGTTTCTTTGAACGCTCGCTAAGCACGAAATCAGTGGCATTTGCCTTACCCCGAAAGTGCGAGTGTGATCATAATCGAAGCCGGTGTAATTAAACCACAACTTCGTATCATCAAAAGTAAATCCCGACCGATTGAACGGGATGTACCATGCCATTGAATACGGTAACAATCCAAAGCACACAAACAGGATTAGTTTACATCTTTTCCAAATCTGAAATCAACCATCAGAGTTGTGAAAAGCCAAGAAATTAATGCCGAACATTAAAATTACCTTATCATACTCCAATGGAAAACATAAACTGCACATCCGGTTGAATGCCATAAGCAAAGGCGCGATCTGTGCAGCGTAAACGCTATGATACGTTAGATACGAGATAGGGGTGAGGGCGAATGTGTACTCCCGACTTTTGAAATGAGGTCGGATATAGGTCGCAAACAGGTCAGTGTTCAAAAAACGATCGAATAACGCGAGTGTGCATCCTATCAAGTCCTGAAATTAAGATGGATCTAAATCGCTTTTTTCAGAGAGATTATGTAAAGTTCAGCGTGTCAGACATGTGCAAAAAGAAGTCAAAAATTCTGAATGTTTATCTGTCGCCTACAAACACTAACAAAAAATTGTTCGAAATATGTACGTACGACATTCTTGTTATGATTTTGATGACGACTGGAATGAATTTGTCAATGACATAGAGATGACTTCATCCTATGCAGAAAACAACAGACTTTTACGTCAAAAGTTGAAAATGAGTTCACATTTCTTGTGCGTTTTATTACTCATAAATTACAGGGCCATACAAAAGATGAGTCGGAGCCTATAACCTCCGGCGGAGGCGGCGCAGAGACTTAGTTTTTGGAATGTGTATTTTTAAGCGGCATTAACTTTTGTCTATGAAATAACAAGATTTTAAAGTGCAAACTGAGGTCGTTACGACCTCTTGAAGTAAAAATTATAGGTCTCGACTTTCTTTTACATTTTTGTAAGACCCTGTAAACAACTTTGTACAAAACACTTCTTCCGGGCGACATTCCCAAAGATAGGACCAAAAACTTCTTTCTCTAAGCGCTCTCCACATTTCGCATACTCTCTCGTCGACAAAACCCTTGTATATTTTGGCAACTCCCGGGTTCAAATAAAAGAACTTACAAACACCCCGCTGACCAACACAATCTTGTAAAAGTGCGAATGAAAGTCCTGCCGTCGCGTGGCCAGCACGTACAAGATACGAATGTAGAGCAGGTACAACGGTACTACGTATAAGCAGACTTCGGCCGTCTCGAACCAGTACATGCGATGAGATTGCCTTGGCTAAAGATAAAACTAATATTGGCATAGACATTTCGCGAAAACAGCCTCATTTGGGCTCATAAGATGTAATTATGACATTATTTCAATGACAAAGATACATGCGTCATAAAGGCTACGGTATGTGCAGAATCTACTGTTTATGACAATGTGAAGTTTTTTTTTTGTTAGAGAAAATGTCACAGTAACGAAAAAAAAATCTGGTCCTAGGAACAAAAGTTTTGTAACTGCCAAACGTATGCGAGTACATTAGGAAACTCTTTAAATTCTATTATATTATGGTGAACGTTTGTTGAAACATCTGAACTTATATGTAATTAACTCCAAAGTCATGATTAAACACCAAATATGTATATTTTTTGCATGACGTGTGTAACAAGAAACCAAAATGTTTGGAAATTGGGAAACATGGCATTTAGGACCACAGTAAAAAATATCTAGAATGCAATATGCATCTATTCTATGAAACCCGAAGTTCAGAGTGTCATACAAGAAGCGTTCTGGCCAGTTCCTTGTTTTGGATACCCTTAAAAAAATGTTGCACTTGGCATGGGAAGCTTCCGTCCTTCACCAGATTTGTCCCACGAAAAATTTTGTAATCACTCCCCATCCAATTAGCGGATCGAGAAATTTCCCAAAATCCTATGAGATTGGATATGTGGATGATTGTATAACAGTAAATAGTTCGGATGACATTTCCCTTACAGTAAGCCAAGAACCAGAGTACACATCAAGAAACTCGTTTACAATTTCGTAAAAGAAATTAAAAATTATCCATTCAAGCTCTTAGCTAAGAAATTAGAACCCGAATTGTAAATTGAACACAGTTTCTGTACTCAAAAAATGAGTGCAAAAGGTGCCAATTTAAATAATAAACAAACCCTAGTCTGTAGTTGATTACAAGGTGAAACGGGAGAGGCGGAAGTGATGCCAAGGATATAATTACTCCGGTATTACTATGTTTACAGTATGAATTCAGCATTCCGGGAGGTGTGGGAGTAAATGGCAGTTACGGTAAAGGGCACTGGGAAGTAAATTGCAAGGGGTTTCAAGGGGCAAATTTAAAGAAAGCCTGCGAAAGCTGAAATGCCATTCTCCAGATTCGGCGTCGATAAATCTTCGGAAGTGTCCAATTTTAATTTGCATTTCAAACACTGGCCAATAAACGATTGACATAAACGACGTCTACACCCTTGCGCATAGCCGAATTTCCGTTAATGAAAAATTTATAGAACCTATGGTTTTTGGCCGAAACTTTTCACTTTCGGAAGATAGAATTTACCATTAGCCAGTTTAAAACTGCCAAAAAAATGTTCAGATTGCCTCTGAACTATCTTAGAGCACTTGACAAACATTTATGATAATAGTAGAGCAACCCGGATCGCTAGCCAAAGAGTTGGAACGGTAGCAAAAATGTTACAGGAAACCTTGGTTATTTGGCTGTCATTCTAACCCCTCAGACAGCGCTATACACCGGATGGCTGCGATTCCGATTCATTGGGTAGATGCCAAGAATGGTTTTCAAGCCATCCACCATCAACAACAACTTCAGGTCGTCTTAGCAGCCTTGAGTTGCAACGACTTCGCTAGTTTTGGATAATGACCTGACACGTTCTTCAGCAATCCCAAGCACTGACTAGCTACTGAAAACTTGAATTCTATTCATACCGAATGAAATGCAGGCAACTCCAAAACTATGTATATTTGAAAATTCAGACTTTGTTTATGCTATTACATCTGAATGTTATCAAAACTTATGCAACCTAAAATTTCCGCCAGTACCAAACAACTTCAATCACGTGTAAGTCTCGCCCAAATTACCGCCATAATACAGGGTGTTTCAAGAAATTTGGCAGAAACTAGTTGCGAATATTTTTGAGCTCTTGCTAGTTATCGCAGAAATTCTTTTTGTTTCTGAAACTTGACAGCGGGCGGTTTTGTACTGAACAAAAAAAAATTTTTTTCGTCGGCGGAGAGGCCAGTTCTCGGCGGAGGCATTTGGGGCCTTTTTTTAAAATCACACCTTATTACATCGTGGAAACTCTGTTACAGTGGCCAAAATCATGTTTACGTTAAACTTCCGTGGATTTTGCGGTATGCTTTTTTTGCGTTTTCGATTTTACGCAACATCCGCGGAGGCGCGACGGAGACCGCAGATTTCGGCGGACTTTGTTTTGGGCCCTCGGTTTTTGCAAATCCATGTTGGAAAAAAGGTTGGGGCGATTTTTTGTTGTCATCCGATGCACAGAGGGCAAAAATTTTGTACTTTTTTCCCCCGGCGGAGGATTCGGCGGAGGCTTTCTCAAAGGGTCAAAACAAAATTTTGACTCTTTTGATAAAGCCTCCGCCGAAACCTCCGCCGATGTGTCCGCCGGATCAAAAAATAAGAAAAATGGTGTTGCTGTGATGGATTCTTGTAGCTGAGTTTTTTCCCGGACTCCTAAGACTGTTCTGACCCTTTGGTAAAGCCTCCGCCGAATCCTCCGCCGGGGAAAAAAGTGCGAAATTTTTGCATCTGTGCATCGGATGACAACAAAAAATCACCCCACACTTTTTTCCAACCTGAATTGAATGATCCAAAGGCTCAAAACGACGTCCGCCGAAACCTGAGGTCTCCGCCGCACAGCATTCCGAACTTTCTTCGCCGCCGATCGGTGTCGAAAAAAAATTGAAAAATCGAGAGAGGGGTATGCATTTTTTTGTGTTGCCGGCTAGCAAACGCAGATATTGCAAAATGAGAAAAAGAGTTTGATACTTCGAAGATTACTCATTCTAATTATACAAAAATTGTCACCATGCACTTTGTAACCCCCGAGAAAATCGCATTCGAAAAAGTGAAAATTTCAAATTTAAATGCAATGAAAATGCACTTTCTAGTTGACTACTGAAGAAAAAAAAGATGCTATCGTGTAGAGAAGTTTGAGTACTTCCTTATACGTATATTTTTTTGCGTTGTTTTCTAACAGTTTTTGAGTTACCGTGCAAAAACACCTTTTTTTGCACTTTTTCCGACTTATCTGCACTTTAAATGCAAAAATGCAAAATCTTCCGAGCAATTATCATTCTGGGCATCCTTGTGGATATACATGCCAAATTTCAAATTTCTACGACGCTCCAGTCTCCGGTTATATCGAAATCATTACGAAACCTTGACAACTTGTTAGCGCGCCTTGAAATATAAATTTTGTGACATTTTCGATAAAAAGTCGTTATATGTACTCTATTTGTGAATTTGAAGGTATTAGCTTGCGTTTGGACTGCATTAACGGGAATAGAAAAAGCTGCACTTGTGTATGAAATCAACATTTTTCATGATGACACGAGGCTGTCTCATAAACTCTACGAGTAACATTCCAGGAGTTGGCAAAAAACATTTTAGGGAGAAATAAGGCTATCCTACAGTAAAAACAGCAAGCTTTCTATGTTTTTCTTCGGGAACTTAAGTTGTCAAGGTTTCGTAATTATATCGATATAACAGGAGACTGGAGCGTCGTAGAAATTTGAAATTTGGCATGTATATCTACAAGGATGCCCAGAATGATAATTGCCCGGAAGATTTTGCATTTTTGCATTTAAAGTGCAGATAAGTCGGAAAAAGTGCAAAAAAAAGGTGTTTTTGCACGGTAACTCAAAAACTGTTAGAAAACAACGCAAAAAAATATACGTATAAGGAAGTACTCAAACTTCTCTACACGATAGCATCTTTTTTTTCTTCAGTAGTCAACTAGAAAGCGCATTTTCATTGCATTTAAATTTGAAATTTTCACTTTTTCGAATGCGATTTTCTCGGGGGTTACAAAGTGCATGGTGACAATTTTTGTATAATTAGAATGAGTAATCTTCGAAGTATCAAACTCTTTTTCTCATTTTGCAATATCTGCGTTTGCTAGCCGGCAACACAAAAAAATGCATACCCCTCTCTCGATTTTTCAATTTTTTTTCGACACCGATCGGCGGCGAAAAAAGTTCGGAATGCTGTGCGCCGTGCCTCCGCGGATGAGCGAAAATCGAAAACAAAAAAAAAAGCATACCGCAAAATCCACGGAGGTTTAACGTAAACATGATTTTGGCCACTGTAACAGAGTTTCCACGATGTAATAAGGTGTGATTTTTAAAAAAGGCCCCAAATGCCTCCGCCGAGAACTGGCCTCTCCGCCGACGAAAAAAATTTTTTTTTGTTCGGTACAAAACCGCCTGCTGTCAAGTTTTAGAAACAAAAAGAATTTCTGCGATAACCAGCAAGAGCTCAAAAATATTCGCAACTAGTTTCTGCCAAATTTCTTGAAACACCCTGTACATTGGCATCTCTGTAACAATTCCGAGAGCCTATGCCCCTATTATCATCCCATTTCCAAAAAGTTATTTCCCCGCTATAGTAATTACAGATGTCCTGATGCGGTTTCGAAGAACGGGAGGAGCCCGGTACAACAAAAAAAACAGTCAAAAATGAGGAACAGGAGCCATGATTGGGTCGCAATATTGGTCTCAGACCTTGAGGACAGTAATTTTTGGAGCGTAAAAATAAGGGAAAAAAATAGTAATAGACATCGTATTTTAGGAAATGGAAGTTATTATAGTGAATTTCGGGGTTGAAATATCATTATGTTTACTATATTGCAGTCAAACTCAAAGCAAAACAAGTCCTTCCCCATCAAGCCCAAGTGTAATATAAAATATTTGAAAACCTCCAAATCAACATGAAAACTTGTTAAACACATAAGAAAACCAAAATGCAGGAAATGTCAGATGCTGCCGCAGGCGGTTACACATTCAGCAAAGCATTCCAGCTGTTTCAAACATTTTTCCGAACCTCCCCACGGCCACCCGGTGCACTGTTAATTTAATTATATATACAGTAGCCGGCCAAGTGGTGAGCGTTTCAAAATTCAATTCCAGAATGACATGGAGGTCGAGAAGTTTCCGGAGATGTCATACATTACTTCATATTCTCTTGTAAGCTTTTTTCCGTTTTTTTTTAATCTGCACCGTGCGGAATTTTGATTGCTTTTTCCCCGTGCGAAAACTTGTTTTCTTCCGTTCTGCACGGTGCGGAATAACTTTTTCTTTTTCGCACTGTGCAAAAAAATTGTTTTCCTCCGCACAGTGCAAAATTTTTCATTTTTTTTTGCACTGTGCGGCCAAATTAAAATGGAAAAATTTTTTAAAATACGATCGTACAAATGTTGCCCAAATTTAAATTGATTATCGCTTTACTTTGTGATATACACCAAAAATTTTTTACATCACCATTTGAGCCAAAAATACAAAAAGTAAAAAAATGATAAAAAATCCGAATAATTTACAATCTGACAAGTCTACTCTATAAAACTTTACACCGAAAATGGAGAAAATAACCGATAAATAACAAAAATTATCACAATAATTCATCAGGAGACAAGAATGGGGGAATCTAAAGGTCTGGATAAAACAATATAAACCATCAAAAAAACATATTGTCACCCATGAAAAACATGAAAATCTGGGAGAATGACCGCATAAAAATGTAAATTCACATTTAAAATCGTCGATGAAACTTTACAACACCCGTTTCTTTTGCTGTAGACGGACAAAAGATGAAGACTGCTCAAAATTTACAAATTACAATCACAATTTACATTACACATACTCAAGATGATACCAGATGGCCAGCTATTACAATAACCTTGTCTACTCTAATTTTTACAGAATATGTAATTTTGAGCGATTAATTAACATAATATGTGAATATTTACACTGGCTAGTGTAGACCGACGGCGGATCGGATCGAATTGAGTTGGGTTACCCTCTTCTCTTCGCTTCTGATCACTTCGGCGGTTTGGGCGTCGCTCATCCCCGTGGCGGCAGCGATTACTCGGACCAGGGGCTAAAACAAGGTAAAATTTAGAAATTTCTCCCCAGAAATCAACAGATCAGTAAAAATTTTCTATCCAAAATCTCCTCAAAGACAAATCGAACGTTTTAAAATACGAATAATGCAGTCGAAGCCTGATTTTATTACCTAAACTTCCAAAAATAATCATCACTTACCACTGCTCCTTTCCCCAGATTATCTCTGGTCGTTAGGTACTTGAAGACAATATTTTGGACGTATTCCAATGGAGGACCATCGTGCCGCACACAGGCCAACAATTCTCGGCTTTCGTGGAGTTCCCGCTTCAGGGTTTCATTGTGTTTTCGGAGGGATTCCACTTCATCTCGAAGCTGAAAAAACAAAAAATTACAGTAATCAAAATCTCCAAAGTCGTTTCCAATTACTTTTAAAATAATAATACGCTATTCTAAGGCCTAACCAGCTCATAAAACCAAAAATCTCAAAACATTTTATATTATCCATGACAATCTGATATCAAAAATTTAAAATTTAGACTCTGCAAACACTATAAACCCCCTCAAATCTCCTCAAATCTTACCAGGCCGTCTGGTTCATCATCATCCCATCCATTTTCCTCGCCTTCCTTCTCCTTTTCAGCCAATTTTTCCTCCGCTTCTCTCAATTTCTCCGCGATTTCTTTGACCTTCCTTTCCAGTTGTCCGGTCTTCTCCTGTTCTTTTTGCACCACTCCATACATGACTTGTACTTCATTCTTGAATGTGGCAACATCATTTTCAGCCTGCAACTTCGTCGATTTCAGCTTTTCCAATTCTTTTTCTGCCTTTGACCTGGCACTTTCGGCTTCCTCTAATTTCTTTTCCAATTTCTCCACTTCCGAAGCCAGCTGTTCATGTTCGGCGTTGGTGGTTTGCAGTTCATTGAGCTGTTGTTTGAGTTCATCAATGCATTCTTGGGACTGGTCCAATTGGATTCGGAGATCATCGGATTCCTGGAAAAAATAGGTAATAAAACTCTAAATTTTTGAAAATTCAAGTGATTAAAGTAATTTACAGGTGACAAAACCTGTTAAAAAAGTTTTAATAACTCTTAATCTACATCATCTTATGCATAAATCTTATTATTAATTTAAAAACCAATCAAATTTTCCATTTTCTTCATCAATATCTACTAAACCTTATACTTTTGAAAATTCTGTTATCTAAATTAATTTTCATGCTTTAAGCTTGGCTGTAGTAGATCCGTAGGGCCCTATAGCATCTAACAAAACCAAAAAATCATCCATATACCTCTAAAACCGATCAAAATTTCGACAATCCTTCATCTAAACCTACTACAATATAAATCGACTTACCTTCGATCCTTCCTGCCGTTCTCTAACAAATATTTCATTCTGTCTGCTGAGTTCTTCCTTGGTTCTGCTGAGATCATCGAGTTCGAGATAGGCGCTTTGCAACTGGCTTTGTAGCTTCACATTTTGTTGGACCGTGTCCTTATTGCTCTTCACCATTTCTTCGTACTTTTCTTTCACCTCTTTCTGCTGTTCTTCTTGGTCTTTTTTCTCTTTTTCCACCTTCTCCAACCTTTCCTTGATCTTTTCGAGTTCTTCTTGAGCATTTTGCAAGACTTCTGTTTCTTGCATCTTATCCTTGAGAGCTTTCTTGGCTGCTCCCAGTTCTTCTTTCAGCTCAATCTTTTCTCTCTCCACTGCTTCAAGCTCCACTTTGAGGTTGTTCAACTGTTTCAGGGCTTCATTCTTCTCCTGGAGGTCATTTTCAACTGTTTCAAACTTCTTTTTCAAATCTCGGAGTTCAGTTTCGGCCGAAATTTTTTCATTTTCGACAATTTTCAGGCGATCAGCCCCTTCATTCGCATGTTTTAAGGCATTCTGAACCTCTGTGAGTTCTTGTTGCGTGTTGAGAAGTTCATTTTCAATGGACTTTATCCTTTCTTCGCCCAGTTTCACTTCATTTTCGAGGGCCTTCACCCTGTTTTCGGCCTGTTCTTTATGATTTTCCAGTTGAATCCGGCGATTTTCAGTTTCCGAGAACGAAATCTTTATACTTTGCAGTTCTTCTTCTTCCTGTTCTCTCATTTTTAGCCCGTCTTCCTTCAATTTGAGTTCATTTTCGAGGGCTTTCACCTTGTTTTCAGCTTCACTCTTCTCATTTTGAATCTTTTCTAGACGTTCTTCAAGTTCTTTCACCTTTATTTCCCCATCTCTTAGCTTTTCCACTTCTTTTTCGGTTTCTTTCAGCTTCCCTTCATACTCTTCCACTCTCTTTTTGACTTCTCTCAATTCATTTTTCGCTTCTTCAGCTTCATTTTTCGCATTTTCCAGATGTTTCAGGTCATTTCTAGCCTGTTCTAGTTCCAATCTGACCTCGGCAAGATGTCCTTCAGCTGATCCAAGGCCGGAAACTTGTTGTTTTAAGTACTCCAGGACCTTCTCCTTCTCTTCCAGCTTGTTTTCCAGGTCTTTTTTCACTTTCTCTTCATTCTTGAGTTCATTTCTCACTTCCTGAAGATGTAATCGAGTGTCTTCTGCATCTGCTCCGAATCTGGCCTTCTCATTTTCGCTCAGCCTCAATTCTTCTTCCAATTTCGTCAATTTTTCGTTCAAATTCTCCAATTTCCCTCGATTTTCTTCGTAATTTACAATTTTCTGGGCCAATTCTTGTTTTTCCAGCTCGAGATTCTTCACTTTTTCGGCCAATTCACCTTGTTCATTATCTTTTCCACTCTTTTCCTGTCTAATTTTATCAATTTCAGCCTCCAAGGTCCTCTGAATATCTTCCAATTCGAGCAATTTCTGTTCACTTTCCCCTTCAATGGCTCTAATCTTCTCTCTGAGTTCCTCATTCTCCTTCTCCAACCTAGTTTTCTGTTCCGTTATATTGTTCATGATCTCCTCGATGTTTTTGACTTTCTTCTCCACCTCTTGTGCATGTTCAATTTTGGTCTTGATCTCCTCTTTTTCCGCATTTTCCACCCATTTCTCTTCTTCCAGGGCCTTCAAACTCCTCTGTTGTTCTTCAAATTTCCTCTGAATTTCGGTCAATTCGTTCTGGAGGTGCTGATTTTTGATTTCAAATTCTTCATTCACTTCTCTGAACTTCTTCAGCTCATTTCTAGCCTCTTCCAGCTCATTCGTTCTCTCCAGAAGCTCTCTTTTTCTCTCTTCAACCTCCAATTTTCTCTCATCCAGTTCCAATTTTCTTTCTTCGAGTTCGCTGAGGATTTCCGATGGGACTTCGCTTGGTGGGGCGGGGCTTGTCACGTTACTTTCGCTGTGCTTGAGGAGTTCGTCTTCTGTCAATGCCAATTTCTTCTCCAACCGGACATTTTCAGCGTGAACAGCCTGAAATCAAAAAATGATTCAAAAAACTTCCAAAACCACCTAAAGTAATATAAAATATACCTGAATCTTCGTCTGAAAGTTAACAAAATTGTTGTTGAACCTTGGATTGCCAACAACTTCACTGATTCCCACTCGAAAACTACCCAAAATTGGCCATCTTTCCGACATCTTTTGGAAAACTCTCTCGAAAAAAATTTCTCGAAAAATCTCCATAAAATGCGTCATCATGACTAGCAAATTCTTGCATGAAACGATAAAAAACACCATATTCGTTCCTTCTCTAATCAAAAGCTGATCAAATCCACTTTTTAGACACAAAAATAAAATATTTTAGACTAGGAATTTGATCATGATGACACCTTTTCTAGACATGGCCTAGAACAATATTTTTTCTGTCCAGATCTCCCACAACTCTTTATCAATGCCTACCTGTGTTTTTTCAACAACGGCTTTGAGTTTTTCCTCCTTTTCTTGGACAATCTTCTCCTTCTCCTCAATCTGATGTCGGAGATCTTCTTCTTTGGCCTCAAACTCCTTTATAATCGCTTCATTCTTCTCTGTCAATGCCTAAAATACGATCTTCAGTCTATTTTCTTCTTCCCACCTTGATTTCCTCTTGATATTTTAGCTGTTCTCGTTGGATTTCCCTGATTTCTTCGTTTTTCAGGTCAATTTGTTTCTGTAGTTCTTCATTTTTCACTCCAAGTGTATCCAATTGCGCCGTTGCCCGATCCACAGTCTCCATTACATTTGATCGGTTGTTTGTGGCTTCTTCCAAGGCTTTCTGGAGTTGTTCTACGCGTTCTTTCATCTGTTCTGACTTTTGTTCAATCTGGGATTTGAGAGAATTGATTTCTTTCGACTGATTCTCGGCTTCTGATTGGTATTTCTGCAAGAAAACATTAAATATAGCCTTTCGTTATCAAGAACAATATAAATTATTGTCAAAACGCACAAAAAATCACAAAATTTCATCATGGATAATATACAGGGTGCGACAATTTTTCGGCCGGATTTGAATTGGCTATAACTTTTTTAGTTTTTATCCGAATGTTAAAATTCTTTTTTTCCCTGAATCCTCAGACAACCCCATTTTGTGTAATACCAAATATGTTATATATGCAGGGACCTAGTTCATAGTTATTGGCCTTTCGGTCGTTTTCTCTGCTTTTTCGGCGTGATGGCGTGTGTGAAAATCGTCAGAAAAAATACTTTTTTTTACGAATTTTGTCGTAAAAAGTTTCATGCCTGTTCATGCCATACAGAATACCGTTTCCACAAAAAAGCAGCTATCTCCGCACAAAACTAGCGAAGATATAGCCAAAAAGTTTCTCTGTGTGACCACTCATGTGCCCTCCTGACTGCAAAGAATCGTTGAATATCTTGGTCGCCCCTGAAAGGTGCGGGCTGAAACTTTCAGGAATTGATGTGTGGCCTATGTCCGGCCCATGTGCAAAATTCAAAGAAAATCTGAGAGTCGCACTGGGGGTAATTCCATTGTCAGCTATGAAAATTAGGCTTTTTCTTTGTCTCGAATTTTTGCTGTAGTCTAATGAACGGGTATAACATATTTGGTATTAAACAAAATGGGGTTGTCTATGGATTCAGGGAAAAAAAGAATTTTAACATTTGCCCAAAAACTAAAAAAGTTATGGCCAAATAAAATCCGGCCGAAAAATTGCCGTACCCTGTAAATTAATATCCAAAATTACCTCCTTTTCCTTGACCAAGCTGTCTTGACCAATCTCCAACGTGATCAAGGCGTCCATCAGGTCCAATTCCTCGTTATCATCGCCATCTTCCTTCGGTAACTTTACCAAAATTCGATTGGCCATCTCCTTGGCCTTCGAAAGATCGGCTTCGAAGCTCTTCTTGGCTTCGTGAGTCTCCTTGAGCAACCGTTTACACTTCTCTAGCTTCTCCTTGACCTGGGTCACTTCTGTTTCGGGACTTTTCTCTGGACTAGCCACTTGTTTTTCGAGCTTTTCCTTCTCTTCTTTGAGTCTCTTTGCTTCGGCCAACAAATCGTTTCGTTGTTTCTCGGTTTCGGCAAGATCAGCGTTGAGTTTTTTCAGCTCTTCTTGAAGCTTTTCGTTTTCCTTTCGGATCTGCTCCAATTGGGCGTCAGATTCGGGCTTTTTAGGCTAAAATAATATAGTTTAGATAATAAACATCATAAAAATTTCAAAAAGGAATAAAAAGTAGCGAGATATGAAGTCATCAGGCAAAAATACGATAATTTACACTGTCAATAGTAAAACCAGCGGATTTCCGTCTAGGCCGACAGCAGTCGAAGGGATGGATGGGCATCAAAGCTGACCAGATTTCATCAAAGTTTTGGACAAAAAACTGATCAATTTCCACGTTTTTCAAATCCCATCCCTTTCTCAAAAATTTCAAAGAAAAATTAGCATATTTTTAACAAAATTACGATTAAAATGACGGATTTTTTAGAAAAAATCACAAATCTATGCAAATTTTTTGGAAAGTCAAAAAATTCCAAGAATTTTGGCAAAAATTGTTGTCCATGTCACCTCTAAAAACCGAAAAGAACTGTAATACAAAATTACTCACCTCGCCAACCTTGGTTTTCCCATCCTCGGACCTTTTATTTGCTTCATGATACTTGGCGATCCACTGGCAAAGCTCAACATCTTTCTGCTCCAGAGCCTCATGACTCTTTTGCTTATGCTCGGCAAGTTTTATTGTAAGTTCTTCGCGTATTTTATCGGCTCTTTGTGACCAATCCGACTCGCATTTGTCCAATCTGGCCTTCCATTCTCTGGCCAATTTTTGTTCAATTTGACGGATTTTCTCCTTATTTTCTGGCGTTTCCAAATGACTCGAGGTCACGGATTCGTTATCACTGGTCTGAAGATTTAGGTTTAATTTTTTTTCAGCCAGTTTGATCGGTTTTCAGGTATAAAATGTCGTTATATAAGCTTACATCATCTAACGACACCGCATCGGGTGGGATTGATGTGGTTGCTGGCATTGTAACTCCATCTCCAAGTACCTAAAGACTGAATAGAAGATAAAGAATCAAAATTCATACCTGTAAATTGTCCTTGAGCCTGTTGGCTTCATCCTGAAGCCGACTTTTCAGGTTTTTGAACATTTTCTGGCCAAAAGCACCCACCGAGTCGGCTGAAAATATCAGAAGCAATTTGATTTAACAATCAATCTTCGAGTTTCCTTCGGTATAACGTTCGATATTAAAAAATCTCGGTAGAAACAAAAAAATTTAGGATTTTTTATATATTCTCCATAAAAATAGGTATCAAAACGAAAGTAAAAGTGAAATCAAAACATTGCCGACACGGAGATAACCTTTTTACGTCTCTGCGAACCATTTCCGGTTCGAATCAGGGTCGTGGAGAGTATCCACGAAAGCGAAAACGTGGAAAAAAGACCAAGGAGAACTGAATTTCCCTCTTTTTCCCTGCTCTCTCCCCGAATTCCGCGCTCTCCCGCCGTCTTTCAGATGTTTTGTAGCCGCGGGGAATGAATGTGCAGTCGGTCAATTCTTGACGAGAAAAAATAACAATTCTTTGCGAGCTGATACAAAATGCCAACGAGTTTTTGGCGTTCCAATCTTTCGTGGTGGGACTTGATATTCTCGTAAATGAAGCTAATAAAAGTCTGTTTATAAGCTTTTTACATGTTTGCAGCTAATTTGGATGCAACTACTAGCAATAATTAACCGAATGAGATAATTTATTATTCTATTTATTAGCTGTTTTCAACAAAAATAAAGTGAAGTAACAAACGTATCAAAAGGTATCAAAAATATTGAAAATTACAAATGTAGAGATCGTAGTTTATTGCTTTTTCTCCTCAGCGGGCTTCACTTGAATGGGGATGTTCTGTTTCTTCGCCTCCACCGGTTGAACAGCAGGGACTTTGACCGTCAATTGCCCTTTATCATCGACTTGGCACGAGATTTTTTGTACATCCACATTCTTCGGAATCCTGATGTGTCGGTTGAAAGTCCTCTCCACTTTCTCATCGTCTTTCTCTTCTTTATGCAGTCCACTGATCTTCAAGACCTCACCTTCCAAATCCACACTCAATTCCTCGGGTTTGAAGCCTTCGGTTTCGCAGTGAACAAGCATGTCTCCTTCCTTGTTGAACTCAACATTGTTCACGTAATACCCGTTGTGCTCGCGTTCCACGGCCTGAAGAAGCGGCTCCACGGCCTGAACGGCGCCCAAAACATCGACCAAACTGTCTAAGTTGGGATGGCGACGATGACAGTGACGGTGGAAAGGACGGGCGTGGTACGAGTCGAAAACAATTGGGAACACTGACATGATGAAGGTAGATTAAAATTAGAAGTAGCTGAATTCAAAGTTTGAATCACAAATTTGCTTGCAAACTGACTTCTCTCTGCGAAACGGCCTGCTTTTATGCGAAAGCAAGGAAATTCGCGAAAGGCCGAGAAAATTCGCGGGAAAGGGAAGAGAGAAGGGGGCGGGGCTTCGGAAAGAGAAAGAAAAGGAATTCAAGGGTGTTTGCGAGACGAGGGAGGGAAAGAGAGGAAGAACGAGAGACTTCCAGAGAGTTATCGCGGTTTCTGGAATAATTTCAAAGAAATTTTGAGTTGAAGTGGGAAATTTCGAAAAATTGATGACAAAATGTATTTTGAAAGCAAAATTTAATTAAATTTGAAAAGTAGGAGTAATTTGTGTTGCAAAGAATAGATTTTATTTTATGTAAAAGAGTATTTGATATTTTTGAATTAAAATATCCGATTTTATCGCGCGAATTTGAAAGAAAATGGGATTTTTGAAAGTTTTGACGCTTATAATCTTATTATTTCTGCATAACGCGATTTGAAATTTTAAGGTAAAGTTTATAAGGCTCTAATTTTTACTTGTGCCAGATTTCATCAAAATTGAGACTCTATTTTCTGAACGATGACATAAAATTGTCTAACATAAGGTAAACTTTAGGTTGTAACGATAAAAAAAATGAAAAAACACCCCTCCAAATCGCTTATAAATCGATTTTTTGCATGAGTTACTGGCTAATCTCCCTTTTTCAACCCCAAAATTTGGTTTTTTTCAAAATTTTACAGTCAATTTTTAAAATTTATTATGTCAGAATGAAAAATGAAAAGATTATGGCGATGAGTATATACAATAAGGAAAATAAAACCGAGATAGTAAATACTGAATCTACAATGTTATCCATGCAATGGAATGACCGGATCTTGATCCATTTCAATCAAAATCCGTTCGTATTTTACCCGTTTTTGAGTGCAAAAACTTTCGTCTAAAGCCAAGTGTAATGTTCTATTGGAGTGTATTTCAGACCACACTGGTTGCGAATTGGGCGTTGGGGTCGAGCTGGGTCAACGTGGAAGTGGAGCCGTGCTTCATGAGCAAGGTGGTCAGCTGCCCAGATTGGGTGTTCCCGTTGTTTTGGAACGAGGACGTGTTGCTGTTTTGACTTGTTAGGGTAGAAGAGGGTGTCATGGTTGCTGGAGGAGGCAGGGCCGCAGGATCGTGTGCTTTTTCGAGCTGAAATTAAGGAAAATTATATTATCCATGGGAAATTTGATGACAAATTAAAAATATTGAAAATCCACAGGTTTTGATGGCCGTGAACTCCGTTTACTGCTGTCAAACTCTCAATAATACCCCTACCTTTCCGTAAGTCCCATTATTTTGCTCCCAATTTGGCTTCGCCGTGTAGTTTGCCCCACTTATGATGGGTTTTGTAACCGAATTCCCCGAAATTTGAAGTTTTTGCTGGTTCGGAGCGTAATTATTGTTGGATTTGGGCGATCCATTAGACATTCCGTAGGTACCATAGCCAGATCTAAAAAAAATATTTTGTTAAAAAATCCTAAAATACGATTTATTTAAAAGAAAATCTCAAAAAACTCACTCATAATTTATGGTGCTGTTCCGTCCAATGGTGTAAGATCCGTAGCTGGCATTAGTTGTGTTCGTATTCATGCTCCCAACTTTCCCATAATCAATGGGTTTTGTCGCGTAATCATTGGAGGATTCGGTCAAATTCTGGGCGTACATTAGACCGGCTGGTCTAATTGGCCGACGAATTGAGGCATAGGATTCGGGGTGCTGAAAATGGGCGATATACAGAGTAGCATGTAAAATACGATATTTCATTCCGAAAATTCAAAATAAAATTGTGAGACTTTGGAAACAAAAATAGCGATTTTTACGGGAAGACCGCAAAATTCGGGGAATTACAGGATCTTACAAAAAACGTGAAGGAAAGTCGGAGGTTATAACTTCCCGCGGAGGCGGCGCAGAGACTTCATTTTTGGAATATGTATTTTTAAGTAATATTAATTTTTGTCTACGAAATAACAAGATTTTAAAACGCAAACTGAGGTAGCTACGACCTTCGGAAATAGGGGCATTTCTACCCCGAAAACCAGTGGTTTTCGGTTGAAAATGATCGATAAATTTCGGACTTTTTCGGTATAGTCGATAAAGGTTTTTTGTTTTTTTCTCTCCTCATTTTGCCTGCTCTATCGCAAAAAGAATGTCAAAAATCTATGAGTGTCTTATAGGTATTTTTAAAAAGTTTCAAACAGCTTACATAAGAGGTAGGACTGTTCTTCTCATACTGATTCCTCTGATAGGTCCCCGAGAACAAATTGGTCGGCTCCGGCGGTCGATAATTGCTGACCAGTACTGGCGGTCTCGGCGAATACATAGATCTTGGCGGCAAATTGAACTTCCATTCTCTCTTGCAAGTAAAAAGTAGCCACAAAAGAATCCATGAGAACAAATAGGTAATCTCCACGATCAAAGTTGAGAGTAGAAAAGGTTTTTCGTCGTGCTGATAAAGTAAAAGGAGCGCATAGATTGTCGGGGCTTTGATGATCACCAAAAAGACCAATAGGAATATCGCAGTGACATGAGGGCCATATCCATCGCAGCATAGCGATGGCAGAGTATAGGAATCTTTTTGGCGACCACCATCAAAGTCATCAAGTAGGCCAACATTCGGAGCGTTTTGCTTGGAAATGGGAGCGTCTGCTTCGTATTTCGCTTTTACGGTGGTCTGAAAATACAGTTTGTTGTACTACCAAGTCAAAATTTCTGATTTTTTAGCCGATTTTTTGTTCGAAAAATAAAAAAAAAAAAAAAATTGGCTGAAAAGTAGGGTAAAGTAATATAATTGAATATAACTTTTTTTTATGAGTCTTGTAGATAGCCCAAATGACTTACATAATACTTGTTGTAGCCGTAGGCATACACTATGACCGGCGCGATCATCATCAAAATTATTGTCCCCACAAAAGTCCCCAAAATTACAGTAGGCAAATAGATGGCTAATTGTGATGCCACTGCCAAATGTTGACCTAAAATTGAAAAAAGATTAAATTTTAAGTGACTCAGGATGACTTACCAATACCAATAGGTCGTCTGCTGTAGGTATTCGTCTCCTGGATTCGATACAAAATCGAAAATCCGAGGTAAGTGTAGATGATATCTGCACTGTGCACGATTAACTGCAGGGAAAACCAAAAGGAAAACCATTTGTTTAGCTTCCAGAATACTGATGGGTAGACAGCGGCGTATACGATGAGCGCAATGAACAGGTTGACAAATTCCAAGGGGATTCCGAATAATCGGGCGTGCATTAGGACTAAAATAAGGTAAATTTGAAGGATTTTTAAGCAAAATTTATTGGAAGTTTGGCTAGAAAATACTGTAAAAGAGATGATACGAGCTAATGTCTTTACAACCAGTGAGTAAAAAGCAGGATTGTTTGAGAATTAACGATTTTATCGCTAGAAAACTTAATTTTTAGATAAAATCGAGGTCTTATCGATGAGGATTTTGAATATTCAAATTTTTTTAAATCCAGTAACCTTCAAACAACCCAAAAACTTACTTGGTAACAACCTCGGAGCCAATGGAGAGCCAGTCAATTCATCGCTCGTGATCCTGAACCCTTGTAATCTCGTGTCTCCCATGGGAAGATTGGTCGCCAATTGCCTTGATCTTTGATACAGAAAATCGAGTTCAGTATTCAGTAAATCCCCGGAATTTATAAAGCCGAATCGATACAATTGAGCCAGCATTATTTGTTGGGCGACCAATTGGACGATCGCTGTGAGGACATGGAGAGTTTGAGGGAGGGGAGGGGCGTGAATCCAGGAGGAACGGATCGCCGAGAACAGGAAGCAACCTGGAGTTTTGATCAATAAGATATGTAATAAATAAATAGACCAGGAAACACATTTACAACGTCTGTATTTTACAACTTTTGGCTGCGAAAAAATTTGATGAAATTTCGCCCCAAAATACTGTTAAAAAAGCATAATTTTTTTTAGAAAAAGTCAGTGTAAACTACGAGTTTGCCACGTACAGCACATCTTCTTCAACAAGGCTCTTTTCGCTCAAAAATTTTTCTCCAAAGTAACTAGCTTTTCGCCCTAAAAAGGCAAAAATTCTACAAAATTTGAAGTGAATCAGAGAGTTGTACTTGATGTACTCTATAATATCACTCTGTGAAAATCAAAAGTTTCTTCAATTTTTATTATTTTAGTCATCAAAAACGACTTCTCCTACCCTTTTCCCGCTTCCTTTTGTCATCCTTCTCGGTCCACCTCAACTTTTTATTGTCGCCAGCCAAATTTCCAGTCTTAAAAATCCCGAAAAGTCCCATCAGCACCATCAACGGGATGCACGCACCACACAGAGAGATGTAGACAGTCAGCCACGCCCGAGGGTATTCATTGTTGGGCCATTTGATCTCCGTGTACAAGCGATACCGATGAATGGCCAGGTAGAGCAGGTAGGATTGAAGTAAGAGCATCAAAATAGTATACCATATTGTCGAAAGAGAGTTGAGACGAATTATCGAGCAGACCATGATGGTCTGGAGAGAGGGAGAGGTCGTATTTTAGGTCGATTTTTTGGCTGGAAAATTGGGAAATTTAAAAAAATTAAGCGCGAGTTTAAGAAAAAACAGTCGAAAAAATGGAGGAAGTTCACTTTATGACCTGTGAATCACTTGTAACATCATAAGTTAGATAAGAAAAAGGAATAAAAAGTTGGGGGGAAAAGCGGAAATTGGGTTAAAAGGAACAAAAAGTGATAAAAAAGTGATTTTTTTTGTTAAACTGTCTGCAAAAACAATATAACAGTATAAAATACAATAGTATATCGAAATTCAGAAGTATTTTAGGATGATGTTGGTTCCCCACGGCGTATTTTACCTATAAAAACTTTTGTTTATAAAACATGATTTTTTGTAATCAAAAAATTTTTGGGTCATGCCGAGAGTTGTGGCAATTTTAGACTATGTAACATTTATTAGTTATAAAAAAATTTGTGTTTCAGAGCGAAATTCAGAGAGTTTTAGGTTAAAAAAACTTTTTGTCTGACCGACTCTCCTCATTTCGCGTGCTCTCTCGCAAAAAGATCGAATATTTCGGCTGCGAAGGGAAAGTGAAGGGTGAAATTTTCAGAGATTGATTTCAGCTATATACAGGTATACGTGAAAAAATTTGGACAAGATCTGAGGGTCCCATCAACTGCAATGACATCATTAATTGAAATGAAATTTTTGGAAACTTCAAGTAATCTCCTCGAAAAATTTTAATGAAAATTTAACCACAACTCTAGAATTGAGCTTTATATACAGTTTGGCTCTTAAATAACTTCTTTTCAACCCGAACTTTAAAGGTTTTCCTGCTCAGAACGCCCAAAACATTGTAATAATCGCATTCCCATTCCCAATTTTTGTACAGATCCCCCATCCAAGTTGAGAGGCACTTGAGAACTTTTTTTATCATATTATTCACCCCGCCTCCCGACCCATCAAATCGCGATAAAATCTGAATTTGATGGAGAAGGGAAGCCAAATTCAATTAAAACGCCTAATGTGTTGGCCACAGAGGGACGGCTTTACGGATATTCATGATGTTCTTTGGGAGGAAAACATGTTTTGACATGAAGCAGAGCGCTGGGTAGGGCATGCAAGATACAGATTATGGCCAAAAATAGAGGAAAAAATGGGAAAATGAAAATTAATATTAAAAATGACAGGTACAAGGTGAAAATTGTCGAAAAGTTTCTTTTTACCTAAATTCAAGTGGCTGATTCTGTCATACAATGATCCCAGATGAAATTTAAAGGTTTTTAAATTGTATTTTACAAAACTATTTTTGAAATTATCGCAGTTTTTAGACGAAAAATCATGAAAAATGGGAAAAAATGATGATTTTGGAAGAAAACCCCCGGTTTTAACAAGGGAAGTACTCCAAGTGCGACGCTTAGATTTTGATGAAACTTGGCATAAATTTAGAATAATTTTTTTCTAAGATATATGCGAGAATCCTAGCTCGCGCTTTGCAGAAGCAACCGAGATTTTTAGATCGAAAGTCGGCGAAAATTTAGGAGTTTTTGCCGAATTTCGGCACGAAAAGTTTCATACCTGTTTCTACCATAAAGGATAATGTTTCTACAAAAAATCAAATTTTTCCGCACAAAACTGCCAAAGTTATGGCCAAAAAGCGTTTTTTCTCTCTGACCGCTCTCCACGTTTAGCGTGGTCTTGGCGGCAAAAATCGTTCGATTCGGCGGCGCCCGCAAATCGCGAGCTAAAACTTTCAGGAATTGATATTTAGTCCATACCTGACGTGTGTGCAAAATTTAAAGAAAATCTGAGCGTCGCACTTGGAGTACTTCCCCTGTAAGTGGAAATTTTAGCTGGAAACGGAATTTTCAAAAATTATAATCTTATATCTGACCTATTTCTGCATAGTGCGATCGAAAATTTTTTCAAAATTTTTGAAGAAAGATGAATAAAAAAGTTCTGTTTTGAAAATTTTTCCAGTAAAAATGGACCATTTCGAGTTGAAAAATAGCTCTTTGGAATATTCATCTCTCTAAAAATTCCGGGAACGGAAGCATATGTCATATAATTTTGGTCAATTTTCCAGTCAAAACTCAAGCGAAATGAGCCCGTTTTCTCGCGGAAAATATCCATTTTGAAAGAGAAATGGCCCGTTTCTAGTAAACACACGGAGTTTGGTAGTCAAAAACAGTAATTTGGAGTAATGTAACAATCGAAATTTGGAGGTATTTTGATACTTTTTGACAGTTTTTGAAATTTTTCCCAAAAAAATTCTATTTTTCCAAGTAAAAATCAGAAATACTGGCAAAAAATGTGTCACCGCAAACATCCACGAAATCCTGCGGCTCCCCCACTCCCCTCTACTTAGCCAAATTAACGCCCTGAGGGCTTGAATATTCGATTAAAACAGAAAATCCCATAAAACTCAACGAAGCATCCGCAAAACGGCCCCGAAAAGAAGTACATATTCGGGAAAGGTTTTTATAAAAAGTGGAGTAATGGGTGGAGGGCCAGAAAAGAGCGGCCGAACACCGCCTTCGACCAACAACGGCGCCATGGAGAATATAAAAATTGGGGAAAACTCAGGTTTTGGTGGGAAAGTGAGGAGAGATTTGGGGAGAAAAGAGAATTAAGGTGGTAAATCGGAGAAAAATAATGTTTTTTATTTAATTTTGGACCGTATTTTAGGAGTTTTTGGCAAAAAATCAACGGAAATATCGTATTTTAATGTAAAAATTGAAAATTTCTCAGAATTCGGTGGAAAAAATCACTCAAAAATTTTGTAGAATCTATTAAAAATCTCTTTATTATTTTTACCATCGTATTTTAGGGCTTTTTCAAATACAATTTTACGAAGGATGTTCGTATTTTACCCTAAAAATCAACTTTTCCGGCCGAAAAGTCCAAATGTTGACCACAAAGAAAGTAACTTTGAAAAATTAAAAACAAGATCCCAATAAAAAAAGTGCAGGCTCGGATATAAAACCGCCCCGGAATCGGCCATAAATCGGCCGAAAAAACCCGGATCTGCAGGGAACGGAACGATCAATCCACAAGAGAAATGGACGCGCTTTGCGACAAGATTCTCCGATTTTAAAGTTCGAGAGGCATTTAAATTTGGGGAATTTGGAAAACGGCCGAAAAAAACGGCCAAAAAACAGGATTTTGAAAAAAAATGCCTCAGGAAAAGTTGTTCAATTACAGTGAAACTTGGAGAAATTGAAAGGTAATATATTCTAAGCCTACTGTAAAAATTTGAAACCGCGTTATGCAGAAACGGCAGAATTATGACACATTTATTTCGAAAAAATTAAAATATTTGGCATTTTTCCGCAAAAACATCAACAACTTGGTGAAAACTGGCTGTAAATAGCATCCGTAGCCCGTATTCTACTTTAAACTTCACTTTATTACCTTCAAATTATATGATTTTACCATGAAACAACCAAAAATCCCCTAAAATCCCCCATTTTTTACACAAAAACATAAAAATCATAAAGTCCGTGCGCTTGTCCCGCCATTTTTATGCACTATAATAACTTTTATTGCATTTTGCGACAAGAAAATGACACTGAAACATTCCGCTCCACCATAACACACAAATTTTTGCAAAAAATCTCAATTTTCATCAAATTTTCCTCTTATTTTCCCACAAATTTACGCATTTTCGGATAATTAGCGCTCTCCAAAGACTTTATGCAAATTTTTCCCAGTCCACTTGGAGTGCCACACTCAATGGGAGGTCGTTTCGGGGGTTCTTGAGCCAAAATATTTTCCATTTTGGGCCGTTTCTCGGCCGTTCCTTGTTTTTTTGCCAAGAAAGGGACCCAAAAATGACCATTAATTAAAATTTGGCCCCTAAAAACAATAATAACATGTTTATTTACTGGAAAACACCAAAAGTACTAATGGAATTTGGCATGCCCTGGGGGTTTGTGTGCAAAAAGTGGCTGAAATGACCGGTTAAAGGGGATGGGAAGTTGCGTGAGAAAGGGAACTCGAAAAGTTTGGCCTTTTGAGGACGCGGCTGGCCTTGAAATCCGAGATTAATCCGGGAAAGGCCGGATTTATTAAGAAAATGGCTAATAAATTGGAAAAATAAGGCTTTTAACTGCCAAAAATAACCGTATTTTAATCAAAAATAGATTCTTCTATAAATTCAGCGTATTTTAAAACCTATAATTCCGTTTTTGGCCCAGCCCGAATGGCCACAATCCCTCAAAATGACACTCTTTTCTTCCGCACCGTGCAATGACCGGAATTTTAATGCACCGTGCGCGACGAAGACGAATTCCCCGCACGGTGCGGGCCACTTTGACGAAAGAGAAAAACGGCACCGTGCAAAAGACGAGCCAAATTTTGCACAGTGCAATGAAAATTTGAAAACGGAATTTGCACAGTGCAAGGAAAAGTGCACGGTGCAAAACAAACATCAGAGTGCAGTGACTTTGAGGCGTCTGTTTTGTTTGCCTTTTCCCGCACCGTGCATGTGCCCTTCTTCCCCATGTGACTGCACCGTGCGCGGAAAACAATTTGTCGCCGGAAGACGAATGAACGTTCCGCAAGACAAAGCCCCCGCCGGCCAAGAAACAAACTGTGAAGAAGGGATTTGTCGCCAAGGAATGGTCGCGACGCCAGCCGGAAGCGAGTGGAAAGTGCACTTCATCGCACTTTTCGGCCAATTTTCCGCCAAACATTTTTGGATGCGCACTCTCCCGAAATGCGCTCTCAAATTGGGCTGTCGCGCGGCCAGAATTCAAAAATTTTCGAACTTTCACTTCGACTTTGCACTGTGCATTCAAACAGCTGGCTTCTCGCACTGTGCGGTGATGAAAAAGAAATTTCAATGCACAGTGCAGTCAAAAAAGCGACAAAATTTTTTGTTTCGATTTTCCCGAGATGTTCGATGTCGCAGAAGCGCACAACGCGTGAAAACCCACAAATTTGTCGCAGTTTGTCCCGCCAAAACAGAAGCGACACGCCCGTCCGCACTCACCGTGCGTCTCCACGAA